GGGGGGGTGCGTCTTGCCCGCTGTGCGGCGGCCTGACCACGCCTGCAGAATCGCGAGTGCGAAAGCGAAAGAATTCAACGTGCGCACATCATGCGCGGTGGTAGCCATCCCGCCGCAAGGTTGCACACGCATTGCCCGAAGCGTGCTGTCACCTTTCGGCCACCCTGCACGCGTCGCAAACGCAGCGCGCCCGTGCCACGGGGCACTCTCGCGCACGTGTCGCATCTGGCAGAAACCAGCGCGCCCGGGGCACCTGGCGCGCGCGGCGCACCTGGCCCGCCCGGTGCACCCCGCGAACGTGGCGCACCCGGCGCACGTCTCGATTCGCAGTGGCCGTCCATCGCATGGCGATCGCTGCCTCTGCTGAGCATCTCGGGGGCGCGCCAACATGGATTCACGATCCATGGATTTGGCGCGCGGCCGCCAAGTCCATGGATCGGGGGAGGTGCCCTCCCCAGAATGCGGCTGGTGCCGCCTCGTTCGGCGGCGGAGATCCGCGATTTCCCATGGAAACGGGACCCGTCGGTAATCCACGCCTCCTTGATCCATGTTTGCGATCGCCTGAGCACCGAGTGCTGTTTATGTAGGAGTGCTGGCGGGAGTGAGCGAGGCAACTTGCAGTGTCTCTGCTGGGAACTCGGCCCCTCCCCCTTTCCCCAATTCCCCTGTGGTCTCCAGGGGCGGTTGGGGGAGGGGGGCGGGTGGTCAGAGCGTCCGGGATCTCTCGCGATAGCTGCAGTACGCGCGCAGACAGCGCAAGATGGCCTCGAAGATGGCGCACGATGGTCCAAGTTTGTTCAAGATGGCCAACATGCCCCAAGAGACCCGAAGAGAGCGTCAAGACGGCCCGAGGTGGCGACGCAGCCTCCCACGAATGCCCGAAGAGGTGAACACCGTGCAAACGCCCAAACAAGTCAATGAGTCGTATCTTCACCCTATTCGCTTCCGATTGCCTTGTGATGCCTCGAGATGGCCCGAAGATGGCCCCAGAGAGCCTAAAGACTGGCCCTGAACAACTTCAAGGCAACCCCAACGCCCCCGCACCCCCAAGAGTTCCGCAAGAGGGCTCCGAGAGGCGGCTCTTCGGGGTCCAAGTGTGCTCATTGAGCGCCTCCCTTGGCTGGCCGAGGGTCCCTCGGGTGGCCCGAGGAGGGCCCCAAATCCAAGAAGGATCCTGGGAGAACCCAAGGAGGCCCCCGGCCCGAGGAGGGCCCCGAATCCAAAGAGGGTCCCGGGAGAACCCAAGGAGGCCCCCGAAGGCTCAAAGATGCTTCGACCATCCCCAAGCAGGTCATCGGGGGGGCTGCCAGGGATGGCGCAGACTTCTGCTCGACGGGTGCCCCCTCCCCGCTGCCGTGTGTCACTGGAGCTCCCCTCCGCGGTTCCCGTCTCGCGGCAGTTCACCTGGGGATCCTCTCTGGATGGTCTGGGGGGGATGCGCGAAGCGATGCATTCCACACCAATCCACGCACCAGGCGCATCTGTGAGGTCGACACAGAGCCTCGACCAACATGTCTTTTTCTTGCGGGGGGCTCCTTCAGCGTGCATAGATTCCATGGCGCACTTGCTTCGGAAAGTCAGCACGTCTAACCGTGCGCTGCACTGGCTGCGGCCCCTTGACAATAACCATGATGCAGTGGCAAGACTGGCTACTTTGTGGATGAGATGGTCAATGAGCCTGTCAGGAGTGAATAGCTGTCGAAGCGGGAGCAATTAATGACGTACAGAGAACCATCAGTAAAAGAGTGCGGGAAACAATGCACAGGGATGGGATGGTAAACTCACAATTCCTTTTCATCGATCTTGCCCGGCTCGGCCTGCGCTGTCGCTGCATTAGCTGGAAACCCCATGCATCTAAAGCAGTCATACATACATGCGGACCGATTCAAGAAGGGAGCTTTTGAGTCCTCCCCTAGGCTTAAGTCGGGCATGTCACACTCCAGGCGGATTTTGGACGGAATATAAAACATTCAGAAAAATGCTTAAACATACCCAACAAATAATCGAACCATCGTCCCCGGACTATTGTTTGACTATTGTTGAATATTCCTCCTGTAGGGGGACACGCCCGACCTACCCCTAGACGTCCCATGAACGACTTACGCCTCTTGACGAATCGCGCCCCCACCCTTCGTCGCTCCCCGGCCTCGCACACGAGTCCCTTTACCAATTCCCCCCCCCGCAAGTTCGACCGAAGACTGGGGAACCGCAAGCGACCCGACCCGTGCGACCCAGAGCTGTCGATTACCGCCCTGGTCGCGAGGGGCACGAAAAGAAGAAACTCGAGAGAGTCACCCGCAGAATGTCTAGCTCAAGGGGAGGTGGAGAGAGGCCTCATGCACACGACCGCCACCTCGCTCACAGTGGTAGGCGTGCGGCAAGCCTCTGGTAACACTTCATCATGCGACACCTTATGCGAAACATCAGCCAGGCCCCTCCCTCAGGACGTCGACGCCGACATGCACTCACCCAAACCTGCCAGAGATGTGCGCTGGACAAGTCCAGTCGACACCGCGCCGCTTCCCGCCCCTCAACTGAAGTCTCGGGGGCGACGAGGGTGGAGAATAGCCCAGGGGAGAGCAACACATGTATCCAAGGGTGCCGATGGCCCATGCCTTCGGCGAGGCTCGCGGGCTAAATACGTGTATTGCTCCCCCTGGGCTGTGTTCGGCCCTATCGTCGCCTCCGAAAGCCAAGACTCCCCTCGAAGAAGTTGGCGCCTGGATACCCCCCAGCTGGCACGCGAGAGGCCCAGTAGTGCAGCATAGACTCATAGAGGAGGAGGAGGAGGAGGAGGAGGAGGAGGAGGAGGAGGAGGAGGGGGAGGAGGAGGAGGAGGAGGAGGGGGAGGAGGAGGAGGAGGAGGAGGAGGAGGAGGAGGAGGAGGAGGAGGATCTCCCAGCGCCGTGGATTCCGAAGAGGGTCCGCGGCCGCACGCCTCCAGCAGAGCCTCCCAGACACCCCGAAACGCACCATCGCTCGGACGTCCATTCCCTGTGCTTTTTTTTCGGTCTCGTGCGTGGCTTTTTCGCCAAGTGATCAAGGATGCTCCTCGATGGTCCTCGCCGAAGGAAAAATGCACACGTCCGAGCGACGCCCAGGAAAAGGGCCCTCCCGGGGGCGCCTTCTGAGCCAACCCTGAGGTGCGAAAGGAGCCGACAAGACTCACGCTTCAGCAGTGTTGCCTCTCTGGCGGCCCTGGTGGGCTCAAAATGCCCTCCAAGTGGCTCTCGACGATCTCCGGCCCACCTCGAAGGGCACGCAGCTGTTCAGGAGGTCCCAGATGGCCGTAAGACGACGCCTATGAGGCCCCAAGGTAACCCGAGACCAGTCCAAGACGGGCCTGGAACACAAGACTGCCCCGATAATCTTCCAAGGACCCCTTCCATGAATCATGGGCCCAAGACGCCCCGAGACGGCCCGAGTACACCCAGAAGGCTTCCCAGAGTCCCTGGAGGGCCCCCAAGAGGCCCACAAAGAATGCCCCCGAGAACCATCGCGACAACTGTGCAACACGACGGCTTTGCCACGCTACACTGTTGGTAGACACACAGCTTACCAAAACGGAGTGGCGGAAATGCGCGTCAACGCAGCTGGATACCTATGGGGTTGCAAGCCCGTGTAGGGTGCCTACGGCACGCTCGAAACTGGCAGCTTGTCCTTCAACTTCGCCAGCAGAAGAAGTGGATACATCGTGAATGACTTAAACGAGATTGAACGCTGGGGAGAGGAGCGGAAATGCCAATCGGGTGCTCGAGGGGCAGATAACGAACGCGACGCAGGGAAATTCAGCTAATAGCAAGGGTAGGGACAGTAACACAATGCTGGCGGATAAAAAAGACCGCGAGGGAGGGACAACGTGGAACAAGCAGAGGCAGACGAGAAGGGATTAAGAGACAGAGGGACTATAGAGAAACATAAAGGGGGAGAGAGCGAGATAGAGTGAGAGGGAGAGAGATACATAAAGAGAAAGAGAGAGAGAGAGAGAGAGAAAAGGAGAGAAGGGGATAGGGAGAGAGATAGAAATAACCAAATCACGCAACATACATCTACTATCATACGCACCTCTCCGAAGGAACAGATCTCAGAGGCGATTTTGGGGAACCCGTCCGCGATTCGTCTGTCCGTTTCGCTGGGGACATCCTCACACACTCCTCATGCAAATCTTGACGTCAGGGTCCAAAAGCGCATCTGACTTTCAACGCTTTAACATAGAACCAACAACCACACTATGATTTCAAATGGCTTTTCACATACTTACCAGACTACTTGCTTTTTCGCGTGAGAATACTTACCAGAAACCACGCAATTTCGCGTGAGACTCCCCCAAACCTTGGGGCCTGACGTGCTTCAAATCGTGCTCTTACCCTCCGAAACGACAATACGGTTAGAGACGTCCTCCAAGCATTGACACCGGAACTCCGTTTCAACTACAATCGCAAGGTGTGGAGACCCCTTTTGCGCCATACTCATGGCAACGCGTGGCAACCCTGCCTTGATTCCACAACGACCCTGGTGTTCCACCTCACTCCCAAATGGCCATCTGCTGATCATCATCCGTATAAGTATTGCATACTTATCCTCCTTCCCCATCTCCATATGCCTCATCTTTGTAGTCGACGCCGCATTCCTATCAATATCCGTCTTCTTCGTTGATTCCGTGCTGCAGCTGTTTTTGCATGAGCCTGGGCATGCACGGGTCGCATGTATATATGTACATGTCTAATTTGCTGAGGTACACACGTACACATGTAAATCTGTATATCTGCAGATCTGTATATCCGCCGACCCTGTCGGCGTGTGGAATAGCCGCTCCCCTCTAGTTTCCCCCCTAGGCCCACTGTAGTTGAATCGAAGGGAAGCCCCTTCCCTTTGATCCCTTCCCCGCCGGGGGCGGGTCCCGGGAGGGGTCCTGGGAGGGTCGCCACCCAGATACGGCTCCCCCCCGGGGGGGGTCGCCACCCAGATACGACTCGCCCCTGGGCGGTTCGGGGGCCCAGAGAAGCCCCAAGAACGCAAAAGTGCTCCAAGATGCCCCCAAGACGGTGCTCGAGGACCCCGTATCGCCGAAGCATCGGTCCAAGTCGCAAAAGTAGCCTCCAGACGGCTCAAAAGGTTTCCAAAACGCCACAAGAAGCCTCCAAGAGAACTCCCAAGTGGGCCCCAAGGGGCAAACATCACGAAGTTCCCGTAGGTTTTTGAAAGATTTCGGCATTCTCGCCTTGTCAGCGTCCTGACGCTCCAAGACAGCCGAAGAGGCCCCCAAGACGGCTCCAAGGGGGAGCCTTGACGAGGGGCCCAAACGGTGATTTCGAGCCCTCGGCCCGAGAAGCTCCCAGGAGGCCCCCAGATGCCCCTAAAAAGCTCCCCAAGAGGCCCCAAGAGGCCCCCAAGAGACCCCCAGGAAGCCCCAAGAGGCCCCCACGAGGCTCCCAAGCGGCCCCCAAGAGCCTCCCAAGATGCCTCCGAACTACCCCCAAGATGCACCCGAGAGCGCTCGTCGTCGTCGCCATTCATGGTCGGCGGCACTGGCCGTACGGCCTTCGCAATATGTTAGCCACCCTGCACCCCGACCGCTGTGTTTCTAGCAACTATGTTGTGCAATCTGCGCGGGGCAACGAATGTGGTACAAGTATGTTGTGCAAACTACGCTGTGCAACCCACGTTGTGAAATATGGGTGGTGCAAGCTATGCGGCGCAACATATTTATATAAATACATACATGTATGTATGTATATATGTATACAAGTAACAACATATGAGGTGTACTCGATGCTGTGCAATCTATGTTGTGCAACCTATATTGTGTAACTGTGCTCTGCAACCCATGTGGTGCAATGTAGGTGGTGCCATCTAACTTGTGCACAGAAAAGGGAGAGCCCGGCAGAACATCCCGAACAACGGCCTCAAAATCGAACAAGAAATACTGCCATAAACATACACTGCCGGACATCCGCGCAGACTTCTTGGATCGGCGCTGGAACCCCCTGGCCGCGCCTCCGACCCCCCCCCCCTCTGGCGCGCTCCGCGGGGCGCAACGCCGATCCAAGAATTCCCGGCGGACTTCCCACATTTGTTGATGCTCATGCCATATGTTTCCTCGTCCCTGGGGGCCCTCACGGAGTCCCGCAGACCAGTGGCAGAACCACGGCTCTGCTGGGCCTCTTCTGGGGGAGCCTGGCAAACCGTCGCGTCGAGAAAATCAACAGGGCTCGCTGAGGGCCAGCGGGAGCCGAACAGAACAACGGCATGAACACGGTTCTATAGAGCTCCTTCGGAAGAGCCCTTTAAAGCCAGGCCGGAGCCAGGCAGACTCATTGTGGGGCCATGGTGTTGTAGCTGTGGACTCATGGCGGAAAGATCCTGGAGCTGCCTCGATGTGGCGCTGGCACAGTGTCGAGGTGTGCTTCTTGCAGCTGGATGCGCTAAGCCAATGGAAGAGAGGAGGACAAGAAAGAAAGAGAGAGAAAGAGAGAACGTGAGAGAGGCTCAGAGAGATAGAGAGAGAGAGAGAGAGAGAAAGAGAACAAACAAAAACGAGGAGACAGAGAGAGAGAGAAAGAGAGAGAGAAGGATAGAACATCATATATATAGAGAGAGATAGAGATAACGAAAGAGAGAGAGAGAGAAAAGGAGAGATAATAGAGGAGATGAACACCCACCCGTGTGTATATATACACACAGATAGAGAGAATGATAACAAACAGAGAGAGAGAGACTGGAGGGGGATTCGGACATGCGATATGCGTAACCCTTCTCGTGGAGGCAGGTCGGGAACTGAAGCGACAGAAGGGGGGGAGAGGGAGAGAGAGAGAGAGAGAGATAGAAAGAGAGAGAGGGAAAGAGAGAGAAAGCGATAGAGAGAGGAGAGAGAGAGAGAGAGAAACAACAACGAGACAGCGAAAACTGTAATAACGCAGCGGCACCAGAAGCGTAGGGAGAGGGTAACTTTCATTCCTGCAGCAGCAGCGTGCTTGTGATGGCGACTACCTGGCCCAGTGGCGCCCAAGAGATTGGTTATCTCCCGCACTGGTGACCAGCGCGCCAGTCATTAGAGCCTGCCGGTCCAGCGTCCTCGATGGCCGGTTGTTGCCATTCCCCCTCTGTCACCCAGGCGCTGTGCAGCCGCATGTCCTTACTGCACTCCTCACCGCCCTGCGCTGCTGCTGCCTTCGCATCCAAGCGCCAAGTCATAGCACGTCGGGCAACTACACTAGGGGGAAAACAAACCTACCTCGCTTTTGACCACCCTCGCTTCCAAGAGATACCAAACGATGCCAAAGTACGGCCTGTACTGGTCAGGCCGCTTGACGAGGAGGCGCGTGGTATGACTTGGTTTTGCCTGGAAGCGAGAGCGGGGCAGGTAATTCACGCTCTGATGCACTGCACGTGTGACAACTGATCTCGAACATGCTGCGCTCTGCTTCGCCACGCACGCACGCCCGAGGAGTTCTGCGATGTGGCGCGGCACGCGCCGATGTGAACGAGAACGTTGTGAGCACACGGGCGTACGAGTGCTCATCGATGTCACGCAGATCCGAAACATGCATTAGCCGTTTGAAGGGGAACTGGGACACACAAATAACCAGATTCCCCATAGTTTCACATATGTTTTGGGTTCCTGTCTTCCCCCCCACTTCCCACATTTCCCTTTTTGTCTGGGGAATCGACAATTAATTGTGTCTGTGTGTTTTTTTCCCTCCTGACATTAGCCGTTGCAGGTGCCAGTGGGCACTTGACTTCAGCGCGCTGTGCGAGGCCGCAGGCCTGCGGATGCGAGCGGCCGATGGCGTAACAAGGAGACCACGGGATGCGGAAGGCAAGCAGAATTCGTGCACCGAGACGTGTGTGGAAGGAGAAACACGCCATAAACGTAAACATAAACTGTTGGTGCTCCGCGCGGATTTCTTGCATCCACGCCAGATCCTTGCTTGGCGGGCGGAGCGCGCCAGGGGTGCCGCCGGAGGCGCCGCCCGGGGGGGCCCAACGCTGATCCAAGAAACCCGCGCGGAGCGCCAGCAAGCTATCTTTGTGCCGTTTTTTCTTCGCCGCCTTCGTGCACCGCGACGTTTGCTTCATGTCTACTGCCACGCGCTCAAGTGGGCTCGCAGGCCATGCCTGGCATGTGCGCAGTACGCTGAACCACGCCACTTCTCCCACGCTCGGGCGCGAATCCTGGTGCACTCCGTGCGCTCGGGCCGCGGCAGGCACGCGTGGCCTGGTGCCTGGCTCCTTTGCCAACCTGCGTGCTCCGACAGGCTGGGGCACGGTCCTGATCACTGGGTTTGTCGCTGGCGACAATAAGAGGGAGAAAACGGCGCCACAAACAGAGACCCCCCTCCCTTCGTGCCTTCTCCTCCCTTTCTTCCTGCCGCTCCTCATCCTCCCCCTTCATCGGCCCAGCGCGGATTCAAGAAATCCGCGCGGAGCGCCATAAGTCTATGTTTATGGTTCTTTTTCGTCTTCGTTACTGAGCGCACTGCCCCCTGATGAAGAACGTAGCACCCTGGCGCGCGGTCGATCAGGCTCGACGTGTCAAAGTAATTGCGAGCGAACTGCTTCCGACCAGCGAATCATCTCGGAATTGCCGGCGAACAACATTTTGGTGCGATTGGGAGTGCAGGCTGGTGCGGTCACCAAGTTGTAGCCTTCTTCGGTCTTTCTGTTCATCCTCCCCTCGTCCTCGTCCCCCTCAAACACCTCGATTTCCTCATCCCCAATTATTCTGGTCTTCCTCTCCTCTTGTCTTCCTCGTCGTCCTCCTGCCTCTTCCCACCTCCTCCCGCCCCCATCCTACATCCCCCTCGTGCCTCCTTCTGCCTCCTCCACCTACAGAGATCTATGGATGCTCCTGCTGCTCCCCTCTCCTCCTCATTGCTCCCTCTCCTCTCCTTGTAGCTATCTCTCACATTCCTCCACCTCCTCTTCTTCCCCCCTACCCCCTCGCTGCTCCTATCCTTATGTCGGGCGTGTCCGCCTACAGGGGGATTTCCAACGACAAAAAAAGAATATACCAAAAATGCTCCAAAAAGGTAAAAAAAACCTCAAAAAATAGTCCCTGGACTATTCTTGGACTATTGTCTATTTTTCGTGGAAAATCCCCCTGTAGCCCGACATAATCCTATCCCCGGGTTCCTCTCCTTGCCCCTTTGCTGCTCCCTTCCCCGTGCCTCCGCCCTCCCCCTCCACGCCGCCGCCGCAGCTGCCGCCGCCGCCCTCGCCACCGCCGCCGCCGTCGTCGTCGTCGCCATCCCGCGGCGGCGGCGGCGCGTCCTTCGGTCCAGCGACCCCCGGCTGCACGCGGATGGCATGGGCGACAGCGAGCGCTGCCGGGCCCGCGCCACCGCCAGGGCGTCCCGGGCGGCCGCGTGGAAGTCGCCGAGGTTCCTTGCCGCCCCTCCCTAGCCCTTCGGCTACGCGTAAGACTTGCCACCGCTCGGACTTCCATTCCCCATGCATCTTCGGGCTTCGTGCGTGCTTCTTGGCTCGATGACCAAGGATGCTCCCCGATGGTCCTCGCCGAAAACAAGCACACGTCCGAGCGATGCCAAGGAATGTAACAGTGACCGTATGCAAGAGTGACCTTTGGTGCGCGGCTTGTCGGCCGTTTCGTGCAGTGCGCCAGCAGCGGCCTAGGTGCTCGGACTTGGCCCCGAAGCGCCCCGAGACAGTCCCAAACCAACGGTCACTCCGGCGAAGGGTCACTCTTGCGTGCAGCCGAGTCCTCGACACCGGCGCGCGTCGCTCTCCAGAAAGCGCCCCTCGGAAGCGGCTCCGCTTTCCCTCTTTTCCCGCTCCTCTTCAATTCTCTCCCTCCTGCTCCTCCTTCTCCTCCTCTCTCTCCTCCGCCTCTTTATCCTCCTCCCACCACCCCCTCCTTCTCCTCTTCTTGCTCCTCCTCCTCCTCCTCCTTCGTCCCCGCCACGGTCCTAAAGACTCCGAGGCTTCCAATAATAGGGACTGGCACGCCCCTTCAGACCTCTGCGGCAACCAGAACGAATGTCCTGCTGCTGCCGTCTTCCTGCTCTCTGAACCACAAAACTTCGCTTATCGCGCCCCGCGATGCGCGGTTATCTTCGCGCTCTCGCGCGGCCCTCTGGAGAAAGGCTCTCCGGACAAGGCAGCAACGCGCGAAACGCGATTATCTTCGCGAACGCACAGGCGACCTGGGCTCCTTGGTAATCGGTCCTTCTCATGACCGACGCGCTCGGGATCACCAAGGGCCGAAAGTGATAAGGATTTCGCTCGGGGGTCGAGGGCACGCCGATCTGGTCGGCGGGCTGGATGGCTCGCCAGCCTCTGGAGCTGGAGGTTCTCTCTCATCTCACTGCTTCAGAACAGAGTTGAGGGCCTGGAGTTGAGAGACGCCATCGAAAAGGGGCACGCCCAGTAGCAGACGACGTCTCTCAGTATGCTTACAACTCTGAGGAAGTCCAGAGTATTCTCGATGCAGGCCACTGAACATAAAAAGGAAGTGTGCTGGCCACACCTCGTACAAAAACAGAAGTCCGTCACTGGCCATCGCTCGGACGTCCATTTCCTGTTTTTTTTTCGGCTTCGTGCGTGGTTTTTTCCCCAAATGATCGAGGGTGCTCCTCGATGGTCCTCGCCGGAGGAAAAATGCACACGTCCGAGCGATGCCAAGGTCAGAGCAGATCCCTGGCGCATACAACGAGAATGGTGAATTGGTCTGAGCACGCAGCGGAACGAGGCCGGCATCGGACGACAACGCCCTTTCCATGGACGGGCGCCAGCCTCGTCCGAGTGCCTGAGTGGACCATGCCGCGCGGCGCAAGAGCGAAGGAGAACGATGAGGAAGCATGATCGATGAGTGAGTGAGGCGCCGTCCAGTACAGTCCTCCGACTAATGTGTACCATGATTGGAATTTCTTTGAGCATGCTCGAGCGACCTTATCCTTGCCACCAGAACAGATGATTGCGGGCCAGGGCAGCAGTGAAATCTCTACCCCAAAAAGCCCTCAAGGCTGACCCTCTGTCCAGCCGCTGTCCCACATGCCCATTTGGAGGAGAGAGGAGGACAGCGGGCGAGGAATGAAGGAGGAGAGGACGATGGAAGAGGAAATGGAGACAGGTGCTCCTCGCAACTTCGGCTCCCTGGGGGCAGGGCCGGCGACGGTTCTTTCGCAATGCTGCTCTCCTTTCAAATTCTCCCCCCCCCTGCACGTCCTCTGAGGGGAGCACGGGGGAGGAAGACGATGGGAAGAAGGAGGATGATAATAGTGGAGATGATGATGGGGGGGGGGGGGAACACCTTTCCTGCGCGCGATTTGCGGAGGATGGGATGGGCCTTAGCGCCTTTGCGCCTTAGTGACATAACCCCCTTCCTGCGCCGATGTCTTTATGGAACCCTCTGGGCTGCCGAAGGATCGGACCGAATGAGAAGGATCATGAAAATGACCTGGAGGAGGTATGAGTAGGACGATGAGGGTGTGGATAGTTAGACATGCTGATAAGGATGACCACGAGAAGGAAATGGAGCGGAGTATGATGAGGGGGTGAGGATAAGGAGGATCAGGAAGCAGGGTGAAGAGGGACAACACACACCATCGGCTCGACCAGAAAACTATAAAAGGGGGCTGCTGGATGACTCAATCCTTGCTTCGGCGCGTCTCGATGCAGCGCGGCGGTGATGCTGAGCTTTGAAATGATCAACTCGCATGCAAGTGGAGCCAAGACATGTCAAGACCAACCCACTGCGGTGCGCACTCAGCCACTCCGACACGCCCAAGAGGAGGTGGCCCTTCGGTGGCCGCGTGTAGCCGCCGGGCCGAATGCAACCCCGACGACGGGGAGGCTTCCGCTGGGGCACCTGCTGCTTGCTGTCGCTCGGACGTCCATCTCCCGTGCATTTTTCGGATTCGTGCGTATTTTTTTTTTGCTCTATGGTCCAGGGTGGTCCTCGATGGTCCTCGCCGAGAAAAAATGCACACGTCCGAGCGATGCCAAGGCTGACGCAGTCAGCACCTTTCAGCTCGTCCGCCCTTCCGCCTCCCAGGCCGCCTTCCCCGCCCACGGCCCCGCCCCCCCCCACCCCCCTGCGCCTGCCCCACTCCCTTTTCTCCGAGAAAGGCGATTGAAGGGGCCCTGGGACACACACAGAAATAGACACAAATTGCCGGATTCACCATATTTCCCATATTTTCTGAGTTTATGTCTTACCCCCCCACTTCCCATAATTTCGTATATTTTCTGGGAATCGACGATTAATTGTGTCTGTGTTTTTTTTTTTACCCTCCTGAGCAATGCCAATCGGAAGTCGGGCCCAGCCGGGGCCGAGAGGGGGCCAACCCCCGCGCGAGCAGCTTCTGGTGACGCTCGCTGTTCGGCTACACGCAAGAAGTGACTCTTCGCAGGAGTGACCTTTGGTACTGGCCCAAATGGGGATCGGATGAATTTTCCACATATCCTAAGATGGGGTTCTTGTTATTACTTGGACGCCTCCTACTTCTTCTCCTCCTCCTCCTCCTCCTCTCCTCCTCTACTCAGACTTGCTCATACCCAGACTTGCTCATACACAGACTTATGAACACTCAGACATTCTCATACTCAGACCTACTCATACTCAGACTTACTCATACCCAGACGTGCACATACACAGACTTACTCATACACAGGCGTACTCATACTCAGACTTACTCATACCCAGACGTACTCATACACAGACTTACTCATACTCAGACCCACATTCAGCCCCCCTGAGGGGAGCCGCCAGGGAGTATATCACGGGCCCGTTCGCGGCCAGTTTGTGGGGATGTCTCAGGCGGTTTCCTCGTTTTCGTGCTCAACATCCTTGGCTTTCATAGCAGATTGTGAAGATGTCTCAGGCGGGGCGCTGGTTTCAGCACCCCTAAGGGGAGCCGCCAGGGGGTATATCACGGGCCCGTTCGCGGCCAGTTTGTGGGGATGTCTCAGGCGGTTTCCTCGTTTTCGTGCTCAACATCCTTGGCTTTCATAGCAGAGTGTGAGGATGTCTCAGGCGGGGCGCTGGTCTCAGCACCCCTAAGGGGAGCCGCCGGGGGGTATATCACGGGCCCGTTCGCGGCCAGTTTGTGGGGATGTCTCAGGCGGTTTCCTCGTTTTCGTGCTCAACATCCTTGGCTTTCATAGCAGATTTTGAGGATGTCTCAGGCGCGGCGCTGGTTTCAGCACCCCTAAAAGGAGCCGCCAGGGGGTATATCACGGGCCCGTTCGCGGCCAGTTTGTGGGGATGTCTCAGGCGGTTTCCTTGTTTTCATGCCCAACACCCTTGGCTTTCATAGCAGATTTTGAGGATGTCTCAGGCGGGGCATTGGTTTCAGTACCCCTGAGGGGAGCCGCCAGGGGGTATATCACGGGCCCGTTCGCGGCCAGTTTGTGGGGATGTCTCAGGCGCTTTGCTCGTTTTCATGCCCAACATCCTTGGCTTTCATAGCAGATTGTGAGGATGGAGGAAAGGGGGAAGAGGAGGAGAAGGAGGAGGAGGAGGAGCAAGAGTAAGAGGTGGAGGAGGAGGAGGAGTAAGAGTAAGAGGTGGAGGTGGAGGAGATCTTCGTCGGGCCTGTCGCCAACGTGGACGGGCTATTATAGTCAAACGCTCATGAACAGACGCTCACTACGGCATAAGATAAAACATGAGATGCACATATGGGGCGCTCCACGAAGTGAATAATGTTTGGGGTTGAACTCAACCTCGCGCCGGCACCCGCAGCGTGGGGTTGCGCTCGCACCTGAGCGCGCCAAGGTTCGGGCCCGCACCTCGAAATCGACCGCAACGTATACGCGGCACATCCCACAACGAACGCGCATTGGTTTATCGTGGGGGGGCCGGTCGACCTGGCGGCGCGTTTTCCGCCCCAAGACTGGTCCCGAATCCCAGCCCATATCCCAAAACATCCGGTTTGAATATCTTTGAATATGTTTGAACATCTCTTTGGGCCAATGTGTTTCTTTGCGGTTGAAAACGGCCCAAACATATTCACACACACATTACGTGCACTTGTTTAGCCCCGGTTTTGGCCACGACGCCGGACCTGGTGAGACGTCATCGCGACGCGGCCAGGCAGTGCCAAACCTCATCGTGGTGACCCCCTGCAACGTCTGCTATCGCAGCGCCTTCGGGGTGCCATTCGGGGCGTTCGAGTTGAAGTGGCGGGATTCCACGGGTGCCCGCTGGCGCTCAGGATCTTTCGAGGCGCGCCCCGCCTTTCGTGGATGAGGTGTGACTTCGGCGGCTTGCGCGGTTGTGTTGGGCCCCCACCTGGCCATCGCTCGGACGTCCATTCCCTGTGTTTTTTTTCGGTTTCGTGCGTGGTTTTTTCCCCAAATGATCAAGGATGCTCCTCAGTGGTCCTCGCCGAAGGAAAAATGCACACGTCCGAGCGATGCCAGGCCACGGGCGCCCAAAGCCGCACGCAAAAGGTCACTCCAGTCCAGGGTCACTCTTACGTGCAGCCGAACTGTGCTGCAGCGCAGCGGGGACCGCTACTGCGGGCCGGGCCTGGTCAGCATGGCTGTGATCTGCCCGTCGAGCGGCCCCCCATCGGCGCCGCTCTCTCATGGGCTCTCGACGGCCTGGAGATTCTTCCTCGCGCGATCGAGCCAACGCTGGAGCATTGCCTTCGCGGGATGCTCGCCCCGCGCAGTCTGGAAGCCCGCCGCGCCCTTCCTCCTCCGGGCGCCCGGTCCGCGCGTGCCCACGACGCTGAAGTGGCGGATCGGGGGACCTACTTGATGGGACATGCTCTCCTCCAAGCGGAGCCGCGCGGGCCTCGGCCTCGATCTCCTCCGAGCGTCCTTGAACCGTGGCCTTGATCACGCCACGCCCAGGGAAAGCGGGCGACGAAAACAGCTTGAACTCCCTCCGGCCTGCGGGCCGCAACCCGAGACCCAGCCCAAAGCACAAACTTGAGATGGTCGTTCCGAACTGCCTTCGCGCTGCCAGTGCGGCGGGCGCACGCCAGGCCACGACGCAGTGCGCGGAGGGGGGGGGGCGGAGGAGGACGACTGGGAGGCCCCCTGGGAAGGGGCGCGCGCCCCCAGCCCCCGCGGGCTGCTGAGAGACAGCACGCCAGGCCACGACGCAGTGCGCGGAGGGGGGGGGGCGGAGGAGGACGACTGGGAGGCCCCCTGGGAAGGGGCGCGCGCCCCCAGCCCCCGCGGGCTGCTGAGAGACAGCCTGAGCCGGCCGACGGGCCGCGCGACGCGGCCAAATGCCGCCGAGCGAACGCGCCGCGGGCACGCTTCCGACAGGGGAAGAGGAGGAGGAGGAGGAGGAGGAGGAGGAGGCGGAGGAGGAGGAGGAGGGAGGAGGAGGAGGAGGAGGAGGAGGAGGAGAGGAAGAGGAGGAGGAGGAGGAGGAGGAGGAGGAGGAGGGGAGGAGGACCAGTGTCAGCCCAAGAGTCATCAACGATGTTGGATTAAACCCTCCCTCAAAGCTCCCTCTTCATAGGCCCCATACAACGGTTCATTTTCGCTGAAGGAACTCGTTGGAGGATAACCGGTTGAAGAGCCTAAACTGTGCCAGACCATTCTTCTCGGGACTCCAACGCCAAGGATCAACCTCCCTGTTGCGTCTTGACGGTCCAAAATCGGGCCCGAACGCCATTCTTTGGACTTTGCCGACGCAAATCCACGTAACTGTTACACTCACATAATCATGGATCTTACACACATTATGGCACGTTGATCATGTGACTCCATGAATCTCGTGCAATGTGGAAAAGGAGTGTGCGCGGCGCTACGGGGAGGCCAACTTTTTGAAAAGGAGCCGCCCTCAATCCGTGGAGATCTTGCAATGTTTAAAACACTTGTGCGCAACGCTCAGGCGAGACCTACATTTTGAAAACGACCCGCCCTCAATCCGTGAAGCTCTTGCAATGCTAGAAACGGGTGTGCGCGGCGCTACGGCGAGAACCACATTTTGAACACGATCCGCAATCCATATGTGAAGCTGTTGCCAACGTTTCAGCTTCAGGGTCATCAGTGGTGAAGAAGACTCAGGCAAAACGCCCAGCCCGCCCTTTCGACCGGCCTTGGGGTGCGACAGGGAGAAATTCTTAATAAAGGAAAGGAATGAAGGAAAAGGAGGAGGAGGCGGAGGAGGCGGAGAAACAGGGGGAGGAGGAGGAGGCGGAGGCGGAGGAGAAGGAGGAAGAGGAGGAGGAGGACCAGTGTAAGCCCATGAGTCATCAACGATGTTGGATGAAACCCTCCTTCCAAACTCCCTCTTCATAGCTCTCTACTACCACGGTTCATTTCCGCAGAAGGAAGTAACTGCTTCGTTGGAAGACAACCGGTTGAAGAGTCTAACCTGTGCCCAAACACTCGTCTCGAGACTCCAACGCCACGGATCAAACTCCCTGTTGCGTCTTGACGGTCCAGAACTGGGTCCGAAATCCATTCTTTGGACGTCGCCGCCGCAAATCCACGTAACTGTTGCACCCACGTAGTCTTGATTTTCTCCAGCACGCAATTTATGGTACGTTGATGATGGGCAATGTTGAAAAAGAGTGTGCGCGGCGTGAAGGGGAGGCCCACTTTTGAAAAAGACAGCCATCAATCCGTGGAGCTCTTGCGATGTTCAAAACAATTGTGCGCAACGCTCAGGCGAGACCTACATTTTGTAAACGGCCCGCCCATCAATCCGTGAAACTCTTGCAATGTTAAAAAAAACTGTGCGCGGCGTTAAGGCGAGAACCACATTTTGAAAACGACCCGCCATCCATATGTGAAGTTGTTGCCAACGTTTCAGTTTCAGGGTCATCAGTGGTGAAGAAGTCCCAAGCGAAACGCCCAGCCAGCCCTTTCGACCGGCATTGGGGTGCGACAGGGAGAAATTCTTAATAAGGAAAGTGCATGAAGGAGGAGGAGGAGGAAGAGGAGGAGGAGGAAAAGAGGAGGAGGCGGAGTACGAGGAGGAGGAAGAGGAGGAGGCGGAGGAAGAGGGGGAGGAAGGGGAGGGGGAGGAGGTGGACCAATGTAAACTCAACAGCCACCAACGATGTTTGAATAAACTATCCTTCCAGGCTCCTTCTTCATAGTTCCCCACAACGGTTCATTTCCGCTGAAAGAACTAACTGTGCCTCGTTGGAAGACAACCGGTTGAAGAGCCGAATTCGTGCAAAACATTCGTCTCGAGACTCCGGCGCCGCGGATCAATCTCCTTGTTGCGTCTTGACGGTCCAAAATCGGGCCCGAACGCCATTCCTTGGACTTCGCCGCCGCAGATGCACGTAACTGCTGCGCCCACATAATCTTGAATCTTTCCAGCACGCAAATCATGGCACGTTCATCGTGGGATTCCATGGAACTCGTGCAATGTTGAAAAAACCATGTGCGCGGCGCTAAGGGGAGGCCCACTTTTTGAAAAGGAGCCGCATTCAATCCGTGGAGCTCTTGCAATGTTTAAAACAATTGTGCGCAGCGCTCAGGCGAGACCTACATTTTGAAAACGACCCGCCCTCAATCAGTGAAACTCTTGCAATGCTAAAAAACGAATGTGCGCGGCGCTAAGGCGAGAAACACATTTTGAGAACGACCCGCAATCCGTATGTGAAGCTGTTGCCAACGTTTCAGCTTCAGGGTCATCAGTGGTGAAGAAGTCCCAAGGGGAACGCCCAGCCAGCCCTTTCGACCGGCACTGGGGTGCGACAGGGGGAAACTTCGAATTGGGAAAAGGAATGAAGGAGGAGGAGGAGGAGGAGGCGGAGGAGGAGGAGGAGGAGAGGATGAGGGGCAAGAGGGAAAACACTGCGAACCGACGCTGGCCAGGAGGAGGGAGGGGAGCGGCAGAGGTAACGCAGAGCAAGCAGGGACGAGGGGGCGGACGGAGGCGGTCGTCGTCGTGGGGGGCGTCGTTGGCGCAAGGGGTCGGGGGCGGTCGTGGTCGTGGCAGCGGTCGGGGGCGATCGTCGTTAGGGGGGGGAAGGGGCCGGCGGCTCAGGCGGCGTCGGCCGCGCTAGCCGCGGTGGCCGCCGCCAGTCTGCCCGCGGGCGCTCCGACCGGCGCCTGCAGCCTGCGGAGCACGGCCCGCGCGTTCTCCTTCTGAAGGGGATGCGGGAATCGCTGGGCGTGCTCCGCCGCCACCTGCAACGGGTCGCCCCCCGTGGCGTCTGCCGCGTGCTTGGCCAAAACGGTCAGGGCGCGTCGCGCCTCGTTGCCCCAGCCGCCGCCGCGCGCGAAGGAAAATGCTGCTGCGAAGGGGGGGCCGGGCGCGATCGGGCCCGCGCCCTCGCCGCCCTTGGCCTTCTCCAGCCGAGTTCAGGCGATGCCGTTGTGGGGCGTGTTGGTCGCCAGCGCGCATCTGGCCAGGTGGCGGCCGTCTGGGGCGAGGAACGCGGCCGCGGCGCAGCTTCAGGGCAGGGCGGCCTCGCGAGCGTTCAGAAGAATGGGCTGGGCCACGTTGGCGAGCAGGGGCTCGTCTCCTAGGGGGGAAGACAGAGGCCTCCCAAATGTAGATCCGAGCGCATGGGGTCGGCGGACCGCGGCGCATCGCCGATGCATCGGCGATGAGGCGGCGATGCGTCGGCGATGTCGGCGTGGAGAGAATCGGGATACGCACCGCCATCGCCGCTGCATCGGCGATGCGGGGCGATCCTCCAACCCCATCGCCTGTCTGGGAGGCCCAGGGGGAAGGAGGACGAGGGCGAGGAGGGCGAGGACGACGAGACAACGACGACCGCCCCGGCCCTCCCAGGCTGCGGCCACAGGTGCCGCGCCGGGCCCCCGGACGCCGGCGCGCACGGGGCGTCGGGGCAGCCCGCCCGCGGCGGCACCTCCAGGGCGGCCGCCGCGCAAACGAGGCCTCGTCCCTCGGCCCTCCCTCGTCGATCGTTCGTCGTTCCACCTCACCTTCGTCCCTCCTGTTTCTTCTCCTCCTCCTCCTCCTCCTCGCTCCCACCCCTGCCTCGTCCATCGTCCAGCGTTCCCTTTCTCCTTCTGGTTCCCTCGTCCACCATACCTGGTCCGTCGTCCCCCCTCCTTCTCCTCCACCCCGTAACCGTCCCTGGCCCATCGAGTCTTCCCTCCCCGTGGGCTCGACGGGAGATGGGCACGACGCGCCGTATGACTGCTGGAGCCGGATACAGCCGCGGGAGCAGCCCGCCTGGAATGTCGATAAAGACCACGGGCTAGTGTGATGATGGCCAGACAGGTTGACAGGTACACATGCCAACAACAAATCGTGTCGTCTTGGGCCATCATCTGCACACATGTCATGCATGTGGTTTCAAAGTCGGGTCACTGCCAGGCCCAAGGAGGGGAGGGAAAGGATGAGGACGTGGTGGGGTGGGGGGATGAGGAGTAGAAGGGAGGATTCTCGAGTGTGGCACAATCGAGCCATATCCCCTGCGCTGATTCCCTTGAGGCAAGCCCAGCAGGCAGTTCAGCATCCGAGCCGAGGCGGTGCCACCTCCCCCAGCCCAGCCCAGCCCACGGGCCCACGTGTAGCTTCCATGCGCTCCCCAAGTCACACCAGGGAAGTCGCGGCCCACATCAGCAGCCTGCGACAGGAGTCACAATCACACCCAGACGTGTCACTAAGGGCCCATGACGACCACTGGTGCGCCCATGAGGGCCACATCTCCAAACCCAAAATAATCCCTGGGCGTCCAGCATCTCCACGCGAAAACTCACTTGTACGCATCTTTGCCACAGCGTCCCGTCGCAGCCAGACACGTCAAATGATTCGGGCCCAAAGCGCGCCCCTGTGGGTGACCTGGCTCGCTGCGCGTTGCGACACGAGAACTTACTCAGCGGGGACACCCCCGCGCCTGCGACACGTCCGCGCTGAAACGCGTGGTCCGACAACCGTGCCAGCAACTCGTAAATTGTGGAGGAGTGGCAGGAGGAGGAGGAGAAGGAGGAAGAGGAGGAGGAGGAGGAGGAGGAGATAGTGGATGTGCAGCGGCAGCAGCAGCAACAGACATAGGAACATAAAAACAACAGAAGCATTATGAGGTTTACGAGAAGGAGGACGAGGACGATGATGACCGCGATGCAACGACAATAAAGGGACGATGAGTGGAAGACGAATGACGAGGACGAGAAGGGAGGGTGAAGGGAAAAAGGTGGCGGAGGACGAACGACACGAGGAGTGAGATGAAGGGTGGACCACATCCAACCACCACTCCTCCTCCTCCTCCTCCTCCTCATCCTTCCTTCCCCTCGTCGTCCTCCTCCTCCTCCTCCTTCTTTCGCCGCCGACTCCTCCGACTCCTCCTCCTCCTCGCGGCGGAGCGCTGATTGACGGTGTGGCGCCAGGCGACCAACCAGCGGCCGCTCCCGGGGGGAGGAGCTGCGCCACCCAGGGCCTCCTTCCCCTTCTCCTCCTCCTCCTCCTCCTCATCCTCCTCCTTCTCCTCCTCCTGCTCCTCCTCCTCCTCCTCTCCCCCTCCTCCTCTCCCCCTCCTCCTCCTCCTCCTCCTCCTCCTCCTCCTCCTCCTCCTCCTCCTCCTCCTCCTCCTCCTCCTCCCCCTCCGTGACCATGAGGATTACACGCGCACGAATTGTCTGTTGCCGCTTGCTGCCTCGTCTCATGTTGCCGAGCCCCCCCTGTGGCTTCGGGGTCTCCCACCCTTGCGCCTCACCCACCCTGCGTTTGACGAGGAGGTGGTGCGAGGACTGGAGGAGAGGTTTGGGGGCCCTGAGGCGTTTCTTGAAGGCCAGCTTGAGGGCACACGGTTTGTGTTTGGCAACGGCTCGGGTGGGAAGCATAGTGATGATCCCCGCCGTCGCCGATGTGGCACGGCGATCACCGCTATTGCGAAGCGTGATGGCCATTCTGAGCTCGTTGCTGCCCCAGCGAAACCGCTCGCCGGAGACAAGCAGACGGCTCCTAGGGCGGAGGTTTTTGCGTTTGTTTTGGAATGGTCGGGGGCCCAGGGCCCTTTCACGTCTGTGACCGACCATATCCCGCTTGTTCGGTCCTGGAGGTCCCGCCTGCGGGACCCTCGGCCTAGCGGGCCAAACGAGGGCCTCTGGACCGCGGCGCGCCCTGGGAGCCTAGACGTGACAAAGAGTCTCTGTCGGTGGTGTGGACGCCATCGCACCGAGATGATTCGCCAGCAAGGATCCAGTCGGAGTGGGATCTGTTCCTTGTCTGCGGGAATTCGACGGCGGAGCTGTGCGCGGGGAGGGCGGCGGAGGTGGCGGGGGAGTCTGCTCTGCTCGGTGCGTGGCCTGATGTTGATCGAGTCGACGCCACCGCCGCTCTGATTCGCCGCCGTGCTCGGCGGGCCGTGATTGATGCTGCTGCTGCTGCTGCGGAGCCGTCGCACCGTGCTAGCCGCCAGCAGCGCCCCGCTCGCCTGCCCAAGCTTGAACTCTCGTTGCGGTCGTCGGCACACCAGTTGAGTAAGTGTGGGTCGAAGCGGGCGTGTGTTTCCTGTGAGATGGTGGTTGCCGACGCCAGCCTCTCAACATTTGCTGCGAGCCCGTGTGACTGCACCTCCCCCTTAGGTGTGGAGGCCTGCCCTGTTGCTCCGCAGAGGCTGCACGGGCTGCAGCACTGCAGATCCACCCCACGCATAGGTGCAGTTTTGTCCCGAAATGGTTTCTCACCTGTTGCACGGGTTGTGGGTTTTACACCACGGTGGATCCCAAGGCCCTCAAGGGTCGTTGTGCTGGACCGTCCCCGAAGGGGACGGAAAACCTGAACCGTCTGAAACGGGGGCTCTATCCACGAGGAGAGGGGCCCCCGAAGCCGATTCTGGCGGCGATGGCGGAGCGGGACAAGATGAGGATTGTCGAGTCGTTGCAGGTCGTCTCGTCTCCCGTTGGTCAGTCCCGCCCGCCGCCGCAGGACCCTCCTCCCTCCCCCCGCCCTCCCAGAAGCGGAGGAGGGGGAGGAGGAGGGGGAGGAGGGGGAGGAGGGAGAGGAGGGGGAGGAGGAGGAGGAGGAGGAGGAGGAGGAGGAGGAGGAGGAGGAGGACTGGTTCTGACCCCAGTTTTTGGCGGCCCCATGGGGGGCCGAGGACAGCGGTCCGCCCTCAGCTACTCCCAGCTACTCCTCCTCCCCCTCCGCCTCCCCTTCTCTCTCTCCTCCCTCCCCAGACCCCCGACGTCATGAATTCTTCATGACGTCGACCCCCAACGATCTGGACCCATTCCCCGGGGCCGGTTCTTCGTCCTGAGCCGTTTTTTGACGGTCCCGAGGGCCGGCAAGGGCCCCCAGAGGCCAAAAAGAATACGAAACCTCCCGTCGTCCTTTTTTCATAACTCGAGGGGGTCTGGGATATTCGCCTCCCCCCTCCTCTTCCTCTGGAGGCCGCGAGCGGCGGAGGTCTGCCGCGGAGCCCGAGGCTTCGAGGGGACCGTCACCGCAGTAGCCGCGGTGGTGGATGTCGTGACCAGCTTGAAGCATATCCCTATCCCTACCCCCTTCTCTTCCCCTCCCCCCGCGGAGCCCGGCCCCGGCCCACCGCGTGCCGGGCGTTCAGGGGCGACAGGTCGCGGCCCCGGCCTGGCAGGGGCGACGTGGCCTGCGGCAGGTGGCCTTCGGAGGGGCGCGCGGGCAAAATACAGGGGGGAGGGCGGCGGGGGGAGGAGGTCGGGGGAGGGGGAGGTCGGGAGAGGGAGGAGGGAGGGAGGGAGGAGAGGAGAGGAAGAGGAAGAGGAGACGGGAGGAGGTGGAGAATGAGAAGGGATGAGGAGGGCGGCGGGGGGAGGAGGTCGGCGGGCACCACGGGAGGAGGGTGGCGGGGGGAGGAGCTCGGGAGAGGAAGGTCGGGAGAGGGAGGAAGGAGGGAGGGAGGAGAGGAAGAGGGGAAGCCTTCTCCTCTTCCTCGCCGAGGGGGCCAGTGCACTGCGACGCGGGAAGTGCCGTCAAAGCAGCTCCTGGCGTCGCGGCAAATTGCTTGCCGAGGCAAGCTCGCCGCGCAATTTGATTTGAAATCTGCCTTCAAACTGCCTCGCGCGGACAGCAGGGCCCCCTTGCTCGTGGGAGAGATGCAGACCCCCCCCGGGACTTACAAGGAGAAGGGAGGAGGTGGAGAATGAGAAGGGATGAGGGTTGAGGGTGGAGGGGGGAGGAGAGAGTGTGCAAGAAGGGACATGGTGGGGAGGAGAAGGAGCAGGCGTCGAGAAGCAGCAGGCGAAAGACGACGAGGAAGAACAGGACATCCTCTTAGCACCCTTTCACAGCTGGGTCCATGTCACAAGGCATCTGTGCTTTTCCACCTCTTGCTGCATCCGCTGGGCGCACGGTTGTGGACGTTTCGGCCCAGGCCGGTGACAACAAAACTTGTGCACCCTTGATTGAATTGCGTTCCGTCACTGGCTGAGTCAGAGGCCCGCTTGGTCCTTTGTGCTCGCCGACGTGCATCGTGGAGTGGCCACATGGCTGCGAACGCGCGCAAGCTCAGCCTCGCTCCCCAGCTGCGACATGACATGGCCGCTTCGGCTCTGTGTGAAGCCTCCGTGCGAGCCAACTGAAGAATCGAAGCACCGGAGGAGTGCGAGCTCCGCATCGTTTAGTGGCGCGAGGCACTGCTTCCATCTCTGGCCGATCATTGCCGAACACCGGCCGCGCACTGAGAGAAACATGCCCATCCGATCCACTGCATGTCCACACTGGCAAGATTAGGCATCCGACGTCAAGATGTTAACATGGCACGACGAGGAGCGCGAGGCAGGATTTAGAAAGAGGAGGGCGAGCTGGAGGAACAGCAACATGATGCTTACATGGTCAGCAGTACGCAGGGAAAAACCATGAGAGGACGACGAGGCGGGCGAGGAGGGCCAACAGGAAGAGAAAGGGGAGGCGGACGAGGGGAAGGACGACGATAAGAAACGGACGACGAGGACGAGGAAGACTCTGCCAATTGAAACGCCGAGGTGGTTGCAGCGGGGACCGTCAAAGGCCTCGCGAGTCTCGCGGGGCGCTCCGCCCCAGCCGATGACGACGTGGAAGAAGAGGGTGACGAAGACATGACGAAGAACACGCGACGATCGGGAGAAGTATATAGCATCATGAAGTAGGAAGGTTTAAAGTAGATTCGGTCCCCAGGCCGTCCTCGGAAAAGGAAGGAGAGAGAGAGAGAGAGAGAGGGCCCTTCGGCTCTTGAGGTACGATGGAGCCCAAGGTAGCGGTGGATCTGGGTGGAATCTTCCCCCTGTAGAGGGACAGGCCCGACTTGATGCCAACACTCGGCGGCCGGCGGCCACATCGTGAACATCGCTCCCCGCGCAAGTCGCGCGCGCGGCGCCCGGCGAGCGCCAGGCGCCGCCGCCGGAAGGCGACGGTGAGGACGAGGAGGGCGAGAGTGGCATCAACGACGACATCGACGGAGGAGGAGGAGGAGGGCGAGGGGGGGCGACGAAGGAGTATGAGGAGGGCGAGGGGGGGGATGACGAGAAGGTACAGGATGACGGGATGAGGAGGAGGAGGAAGAGGAGAAGGAAGAGGAGAAGGAGGAGGGCAAAGGGGGAACAACGGGAAGGCACAGGACGACGAGAACGTGGACAGCGACGACGACGGCGCCTTCGCCCCACCACCCCCAGGGCGCGCCTGCGCCGTCGAGCCCGAGGTGCGGGCAGGGCGCCGCCGCGTGCAGGCGCGCCGCGGTGGGCGGCGGCTGGGCGGCGCGCGGCGGCGTGCTTCCTGCCTGTATGTCCGTTTTGCTGCTATGTTTCTTGCCTTATGTGCTTATGCGACACAGGTGTGTAGCTTAATGTATGCAGGCGTTCATGCTCCCCCACATGCTTAGTTGGCAGCTGGCTTTCTCTCCCGCCCGCGTTGCACACGCGTTCGCCTTCACCTCCTCCTCCCCCCTTTGCATGTCGTTGCCAGTCTCACCGCATTGGACACACACGCACACGCACGCACGCACGCACGCACGCACACACACACACACCCACACACACACACACCCACACACACACACACACGCACACGCACACACACACACACACTTTTTTGTGCCGTCGGCTGGGCAGAGTGAGGCGGAAGAGGCATAACGTGGCAAACGGTGCGTTGCAGAGCGCGGCAGGCCTGGTAGTTTGTCGCTTCTGTTCGCCAAGCGTGTCAGGCTCCCAAGGCTTGACAAGCGTCAACCACGGTATCGGCGGGGCAACGGCAACCCACCATCACCATCCAGCTATCAGCACGCCAGACACATTATAAGTACATGGGGTTCCTCGGTAGCATACCTATGCGCTTTTGCAAGGCAGGGCCACTCACACAAGTCCCCCCAACGAATTAGCCTGGAGAAGGACCCACCCACATGCAGCTGCGAGTACCGCAAAACAAGTGGAAACTAAGGGAGGGGCTGGCAGAAAGACGGCGTGTGAGAAAAACGGAACGACGTTGCTGATGGGGTCGCAAACGTCAACCGCAACGGGTTGCATCTGGATGTAACCCGTCACGGCTGATCTGAGCGTCTGTCGGCCCAGCCCTGGGGAGCAGCAGGGCGCGGTCTGGGGAGCAGCAGGCGGCGGAGCCTTTGTTGGTGGAGCTCCTATAGGGCCACGAAGCGTGCCAGGGGTGTGCCGACATGGGTGCGGACACGCATGCGGTTCCTGCCGGCGGGGCCCGAGGAGGTGGAGGCCCCCAAGGGGCCGCGCAGCGTGCGAGGGGTGTGCCGACATGGGCGCGGTCACGCACGCGATCCCTGCCATCTGGGCTGGGCCCGAGGTGGAGCTCCCTGTGGGGCCACGTGTGAAGAGCCTGCCGGCCCGAGCGCGGCCACGCATGCGATTTATGCCACTGGAGTTGTCGGCGGAGCTCCACGCGGAGCCACGAAACGCGTGTGTGTGTGTGTGTGTGTGTGTGTGTGTGTGTGTGTGTGTGTGTGTGTGTGTGTGTGTGCGTTGCGTGCGTGCGTGCGTGCGTGCGTGCGTGCGTGGGTGTGTGTGTGTGTGTGTGTGTGTGCGTGTGCGTGCGTGCGTGCGTGCGTGCGTGCGTGCGTGTGTGTGTGTGTGTGTGTGTGTGTGTGTGTGTGTGTGTGTGTGTGTGTGTGTGTGTGCGTGCGTACTGTCTCCCCAATTAGTGCTTCGCGCGCCCCGCCTAGCTCTTAACCGGAAGGGGGCCGCTCCCGACCCGCCGACTAAAAAAGTGTGTGCGTGCGTGTGTGCGTGCCGAAATCGTCTAGACAAGATCGGGAGTTGGGGGGTGAGATCGAAGTGGGACGGATGGCCCCCCACGGGGAAATCGGTTTCGGTGTCGGGTTCGTGTCGTGCGTGCGGGCGAGGCGAAGCTGCGTGAACGGGCGAGAAGACTGATTCCGCTGTGGCTCGGGAAAGACCAAGACGTTGACCGATCCGCCCCCCGGTGGGCGATCGGCTCTTGGCGGTGTCCCGCCGCGGTGTCCCGTTGGAGTCCCGTCGGTATCCCGTCGGTATCCCGCCGGTGTCCGATTGGTGCCCCGTCGGTGTCCTGTCGGTGTCCCGCCGGTGTCCCGTCGGTGTCCCGTTGGTGTCCAGTCGGTGTCCCGTTGGTGTCCCGTCGGTGTCCCGTCGGTGTCCCGCCGAAGTCCCGTCGGAGTCCCGTCGGTGTCCCAATGGTGTCTCGGTGGTGTCCCATCGGTGCCACGTACGTCGGTGTCCCGTGGTGGGATCGATAGTGGCACCAATCGTGAGACCGATCGTCTGAGGTTGGGGGGTGAGATCGCAATCGGTTTCGGTTTCACGATCGTGTCGTGCGTGCGAGGTGAAACTGCGCGGCTGCGCGAGAAGAATGATGCCGCCGTGGCTAGGGGCCGATGAGCCGTTTGACCGACCCCCCCGCCCTGGCCTGGGTGTCCCGTCGGTGGCGCGGGGATGCCCCGTCGGTGGCGCGAGGTGCCCCGTCGGTGTCGCGGGGTGTCCCGACGGTGGCTTCGGGTGTCCTGCCGGGGTGTCTCGATGGTAGCTCGTGAGACCGATTGTGAGATCGATCGTCATCGTGAGATCGATAGGAAGATCGATAGCGAGATCGATCGCGGGAAGTCTCTGGCTGGGGATGCCCGCGACCGGGGTTACCCCATCCTGGTTCTGGTGAGGTTGATTGCTGCTAGGTCGGGTGTGTCCCCCTACAGGCGGATTCTGGACGAAAACTAACAAGTGGCTCAAACGAATACCCTAGAATGGTAGACACATGATCGGAACATCGCCCCCCGACCATGTCTTTTGGACCGCTTTTGAACAATCCGCCTGCAGAGGGACAGGCCCGACTCAACGAGAGCGCGATCGATGGCGCGATCGATCCTGCGTCGGGGATCTTCTGACCCGGGACCCGGGTCAATCCAGACCCGGGTCAGCAGGAAACCAAAAAACTACAATGCAGAACAAAAAAAACTGCAACGCAGATCTTCGCAAACCCGGGTCAATCAATATGCGCGGCCGCCTCGCGGCCTCGAGCGCCTCGCTGACCCGGGTCAGCCACATGGGGTCTTCGCAGGATCCTGCAGGATCTGGCGCCCTGGCTGACCCCCGTTTGCATTGACTCCCGACTGCGATGGGAGCGGCGTGCCCCGGGGGCGGCGGCGGGCCGCTGCCGACCACCGGCCATCGCTCGGACGTCCCTCCCCTGTTTTTTGTCGGTCTCGTGTGTGGCTTTTTCGCCACATGATCAAGGATGCTCCTCGACGGTCCCCGCCGAAGGAAAAACGCACACGTCCGAGCGATGCCAGGGGCCGCTGCCGACCAGGGGCGGCGCGGGCCTGCGCCTGCGCCGCGGCGCGCACGCCTGGCGCGAAGGGCAGCGGCTGGGCGGCAACCGCCTCCGCGGCTCGCGCGGAGGCGGAGCGGGCGCGTCGCGGCGCGGGGGGGCGGACTGGCCTGCACAGCGGGGGCCGGTCCACGAGGAGCCTGCCACGAGAGACCCAGCCCCACGCCATCGCTCGGACGTCCATTCACTTTGTTTTTTTCGGTTTCGTGCGAGGTTTTTTCGCCGAGTGATCAAGGACGGTCCTCGATGGTCGTCGCCGAGAAAAAATGCACACGTCCGAGCGATGCCAAGATCCCTGAGACCCCAGGACCTCCATGGATTTCTTGGTTCGGGGTCGCAAAACTCTCGAAACCCAGGGAACCCAGGGCACCCTGGAGTGTGTCAAGCAGGGTGTTCCTTGGCATGGGCTTCCACTGTAGACGACGACGCCGCCGCCGCCGCCGCCGCCGACGACGACGACGACGACGCCGCCGCCGACGACGAGGCGGAGACAGAGGACATGGAGACTGGAGGATGGAGGAAGCGACGATGGTGGCGGCCGCCGAGCAGTGCGCCAGACGGGCACGCGAGAAGGATGGCCTGCAGTTGCAACCCCTCCGCGGCTCGAAACGGTGGCGCGCCCTCCCACCCACACGATCGAGGGGTGGGCGCCCCGGCGCAAAAGCACGAAGAAACGGAAGAACCAGAACCGAAGGTGCGCAGAAAGCCTGGCCGCACGCCCCCCAGACAGTCCTTTCGGTTCCTCGGAGGAGGCCAGGGACCTCCTTCGCCGTGGCGGCTCAGGCCGCACAGCAGACCACCCCATTCCGCTCGGTTCCTCGGGGGGACTGCCCCCTGCACCGCTCGGCTCCTCACCCCCCTTCAGCGCGGCCGCCCACGCCATCGCTCGGACGTCCATTCCCTGTGTCTTTTTTTTCGGTCTCGCGCGTGGCTTTTTCGCCAAAGGATCACGGATGCTCCTCGATGGTCCCCGCCGAAGGAAAAACGCACACGTCCGAGCGATGCCAGGCGCCACTCCTTCCCCTGGGCCTGCGGCGACGCAGCCTGGGTGGGCAGGGGCCCGGGAGCCGCGAGGAGGCAGGCGGCGCGGCGCGAGGGCAGGCGCCGCGGGCGCGGCAGTCCTGTCGGGCAGGCCGCGCAGGGCTTGCTCGCGCGCGACAAGGCAGGCACCACGCCCTGCAGATGCGACGATGGCATCGGCCTCCTCCTCCTCCTCCTCCTCCTCCTCCTCCTCCTCCTCCTCCCTCCTCCTCCTCCTCCTCCTCCTCCCCCTCCTCCCCCTCCTCCCCCTCCTCCCCCTCCTCCTCCTCCTCCTCCTCCTCCTCCTCCTCCGCGGCATCGCGCGGCGCGGGCACACCCGGAGCCCGCCGCGCGAGGTCTCCCCCGAGGCGGGCACGCACGCGGCGGACACCCACGCGGCGGGGCGCCGGCCGACGGCTCGAGACGGCGTGGGGATGAGCCCCCCGTCGGCCTCGGCTCAGAGGCCACGGTCGTCGCATCCCCCGCTTCCACGTACTGGATGAGCCCGAGAAGAGCTGCTCTGCAGCCGACGCCCAAGCCGCCTCGAGGTCGAGGAAGTCGAAGGGCGGGGTGGCCGCGCTCCGCGTGCGACTGAAGACGGAAATGTCGGGGGAGCCCTGTCCTGCTCGCCAATAGACTGAGGCCCGACCGTGAGAAGACGCCCGCGAGGCCCAGGAAGCTGCCGCAGAGCGCCATGGCGTGGCCACGCGTGCCCTCTGCCCTCCTCCGACATGTCGAGCGGGTACCGCGGCAGCAGCAGCGCCGAGGGTGCGCCAGCCGCGGCCTGCGCCTGGCGGGCCGCCGTGCAGCGCGCCCTGGCACGGCGGCGAGAAGCCGCGGTCGCACACGACGGGCGAAACATCGGCCATAGGCCCGCGGAGCGGACACCAGGCTGCCGAATGGCTGCGGCCGCGCTCGGAGCCACCCTGGAGGAGGATGGAGGTGGGAGGAGGAGGCGCTGGAGGAGGAGGACGAGGATGTAGAATCAAAAGGTCGAGGAGAAGGGTGATGATGGATAATCAAGACGTCGAGGAGGAGGAGGAGGAGGAGGAGGAGGAGGAGGAGCAGGAGGAGGAGGAGGAAGAGGAGGAGGAGGAGGAAGAGGAGGAGGAGAAGGGAGGAGGAGATCCAACTGGGCGCACCAGGATGCGTTGCCGACGGTGGTGACAGACTCACTCGACCGCCGCCGCTGCTGCTGCTGCTGCTGCTGCAGACATACCGTGCTGCACACGAGCAGGATGAGCCGCAATGGCAAGATGGGGTGGATAAGTGGGGGCGGAGGATTTGCCCCCCCACGAGGCCGATGCACTGAGCATACGATGCTCCCCGTGCAAAGGTCTGCGCCTTCCCGTGCACCACAGCCTCGCCCATCACATCCGGCTCGCAACGCGAATCCGGTTCGCACGGTGACCTCTGTGCTGCTGCTGCGCTCGAGAAGTTCCAACCGTGACCTCCTGAAGGCGGAAGAATGCTCCACGCTCGTGCAACGCAGCTGCAAGGCGACGAGGAGGATGGAGGAGGGAGTGGTGGAGGAGGAGGAGGAGGAGGAGGAGGAGGAGGAGGAGGAGGAGGAGGAGGAGGAGCGTGAGCGAGAAAAAGGAGCACATCGCCTGCCCGGACGTGGGCGGCGCCTGCAGGGTGCCCGTACCTTCGCTCGCCCGGGGCGGGGGCCGAGGATGGTGCGCACCAGGGAGGAACGGCAGCCCGAGCCCGAGGGATGCCACGAACCCGCGCTTCGCTGTGGCATCAGACTGCACCCGCTGCCCTTGCCATTCCAAACCGTTGCGCCTCGTTCTCAGCCTCGACCCCCTCCGTGTCCCCAGCGCTGCCCCTTCCTTGGTGCTGTGGACGCCCGCATGTCACACTCGACTGTCCTTGTCTGGATGCTTCAAGTCTCGCGTCCTGCTCCCCCGCCCAGCTCGCCAAAGCTTGCGCGGCCCAGGTGCGCGTAAGTGTTCTGTCGGTGGTAGGTTCTTCTCTCGTCGCCTTCCAAGGCAGGGCGGGGGGGGGGGCGTAAGACAGAACATGAGGAGGCGAGCGCCCGCGAGCAGACCGTCTTTTTACCAACTCGTGGCTTGCTTTCGCTGCAGCTTGCGGGGGTGCTCTCCCCGATGTCCTCTCAACCAATACGATCGCATGTGAGGATAGAACGTCGCAGGCCGCCGCCCGCATCGCGTCCAGCTGCAACGGCTGACTGCCCTTCCCTACCCCCTCTGGCGCCCTCCTGCTCCCTCCCTCCCCTCCTTCCCTGCCCTGCTCTCTACACTTACATTATGTGCATACTACTCTCCTCTCTCCACTTCATATGTCCGCGTGTGGCTTCTTCACACACTGGATGTCAAACGTTGATCTTTCGTATGCGGCTTCTTTCCCATCTGATCGTTTCCGGCCCCACATGGATGGCGCTCCCGCTGCAACGCGGACCTCCTTTCCGCGCCTCTGGCCCTTCAGCATCGTGTTCCCGCTGCCACGCTTGTCTCATTTCCGCATGTTCGGTCCATCGGAATGGTGCTTCCACTGCAATGTTGGTTACATTTCCGCATGTTCGGTCCTTCCGAATGGTGCTCCCGCTGCAACGCTGGCTTAATTCCCGCGTGCTCGGTCCTTTCGAGAAGGCAACGCTGGCCTCATTTCATCGTGTTCGGTCCTTCCGAGTGGTGCTCCCGCTGCAGCGCTGGCCTCGTCTCCAATCTTTCGGGTTTTCCAACATTGTTTTCTGGACCATGGTATGTAATCAATGGTATGTTACATACCGCTACTGTGCAATTGCATGCTTTGCTTTGCAATGTTATGCTGCGCTGTGCCATGTTATCCAATGGCATACCATGCGCTGCTGTGTTGTGGGGTTATGCGATGTCAGGTCTTGCGCTGTTATGCTGTGATATGCTATTCTTGGCAACGTAATGCTATGCGATGCTATGCATCGCGTACCCTAGGGCTCTTCGCAGTGGTGAGGGATGGGAGGGATGGGTAGGACGTCAGACATGACGCGAGCGCAGCTGGCTTGCCCTTCTCCCCTCTCCCCTCTCCCTTTGCCTCTCCCTCCGTCCTTCGCTACTGCCTTGTCTGTCCTCCCCTTCACATACATCGGACGTCGTGAGATCTCGGAAATTCTGCTGTCAAAACGACAACCATAAGCCTTGACACAGTCCTCGAAACGGGCATACCGAGCTAGGTCGATACTTTCCGTGATGGGTCAAGCTTGTATTCCCTGCGCTGGCCACCACACTTCTGGGGCGCGCAGACATTGATTAGCGATCCATGGACTTTGGCGCGCGGTCGCCAAATCCATGATCGGAGGAGGTGCCCTCCCCAAAATGCGGCCGGCGCTGCCTCGTCCAGCGGCGGAAATCCGCGGTGTCTCATGGAAGCGGGACCCGTCGCTACTCCACGCCCCCTCAATCCATGTCTGCGATCGCCTGAACACTGCGCGGCAGAGAGAGCGCGAAACAAGAGCAGAAGCAGGCTGGAAGAAAGAATGCAAAGCCCGTAACCTGGGGGTGGAATGATGAGTTCACCCAGGGGCGCATAGAGAAGCCCTCTCAGAGCGGTAACGCGCAGCGACGATGGCACGAACTACGGCCTTCTACCGGCAGCAGACCAGCACTGCGGCTACCATCAAGTCGGGCCTGTCCCTCGACAGGGGGGAATATTCGAAAACGGTAAAAAATAGTCGGGGGAGGATTTTTTGAGAGTATGTTTTGGCCACTCTGCATATTTCTGGATTCTCCTTCATTTTTCGTCCAAGCTCCCCTTGTAGGAGGGCATGCCCGACCTGAATCTCTACGGGGAGAATATTCGAAAACGGTAAAAAATAGTCGGGGGAGGATTTTTTGAGAGTATGCTTTGGCCATTCTACATATTTCTGGGATTCTTCTTCATTTTTCGTCCAAGCTCCCCTTCTAGGATGGGGACCTGCCCGACCTGAAGCTACCACGGACGGGGTGAACGTCGCGGGCCCGCAGAGCAGCGCCGGGGCGTGAAGGTCCTCCTCTCTCTGGCTGGGAGGAGGAGGAGGAGGAGGAGGAGGAGGAGGAGGAGCCACCCGTCGGCCGCCCTGGACGATCCTGGGCTCCCCGGAGAGCTCTCGACAGGGCGCGGCGGGCGGAAGACCCCCTCGGGCACGGAGTCCCCCGAGCCGAGGAGCACCCGAAGAGCTCCCCGGGCCTCCCGCGCCCCCCCCCCCCGGCGAGAGGAAGCGCCGCGGAACGCCACCCTGACCTTAGGTCGGGCATGTCCTCCTACAGGCGGACTTTGAAGGACGAACGAACGCTAAAGCATACGCAAAAACATCAGAAAGTTCGTTGGCCAGACAATGAGTGGGCTATTTGTGCATATTCCTCCTGTAGAGGTACATGCCCTGGGAGTGCCTGGGCTCGCCTGGGAGCTCCTGGGAACGCAAAGGAGCGCCCGGGGAGCGCCTTGTTGCGCCTGGGATCGTCCGGGAGCGCTTCGGGAGCGTCGGGGAGCGCCTGGCAGCGCCTGGGGGTCTCTGGGAGCGCTTGGGAACGCCGGGGGGGCGCTTGGGAGTGCCGCGCCTGAAACTGTCTGGTAGCGCCTCGGAGCGCCTCGGAGCGCCTGGGAGGCCTTAACCCTGGACCTCAGACCAAATAACGGCCCGCGGCCGTGCGGCAAAGGGAGGCTCCCGCGGGCCGCAGCGGGACCGATGGGGAGAGCGGACTGCCGGACGCGAGAGCCGGCGCCTGGCCACGGTGTTGAGGGCAGAGGTCGCGGCGCAGGCAAGCGACCAGGGAGGAGGAGGAGGAGGGGGGAGGAGGAGGAGGAGGAGGAGGAGGAGGAGGAGGAGGAGGAGGAGGAGAGGAGGAGGGGAGTAGGAGGCGAGAGGAGAGGAAGACCAGGAGGAGGATCAGGCCAGACAAGACACGACCAGATCAGACACACGACAAGACGCGGCGCGGCACGACACACCAAGGCAGGGCAAGGCAAAATGCATCGCGCCAAACCCGTCGTCAACTCCAAAGTCAGTCCACGGTCGGGAACCCTTTGCTTCTATCGGGTCGCGGCAGCGGCCCCGGCGACGCGCTGTGCCCTGCAAGCGGGTAGCGCGCCCCTCCGCTCCGCGGGGCGGGAGGCTGGGAAAAGGCTCGGGATGTCGACGCCTGGGACTGGGGACACTCGGGGGAAACGCAAGGGAGGCATAGCAAAGGCCGGGGTCGAGACTCGGCTCACGTGGCTGCTTTTCCCGGCTCCTCCCAGCGCCAGGAGGCGCCCGTGCATCGAGGCACGGGCCCGGCGGCGGGGCCGAAACCAGCTGCGCGCAGCAGGTTCCGTACCCCCCCCTTTCCCTATCCCCCCCCTTTCGTTCGACCCGAGACGCCCCCCTTTCCCTATCCCCCCCCCTGTCCCTATCCCCCCCTTTCCCTACCCCCCCCCGTTTCCCTGTCCCCCCCCTTTCCCTATCCCCCCCCTTTCCCTATCCCCCCCTTTCGTTCGGCCCGAGACGCCTGGGGACGGGGGACGTGGACAGCGCGGTGTGCCGAGGCGTGGTGGGCCAAAACCGGCGGCGCGACACGCTGTCCCGAAGCTCCCGACCGCAGCTCTGGGCCTGTCGAGGCGGCGAGGGGAAGGAGGAGGGAGGAGGATGAGGAGGAGATGAGAGGAGGAGGGAGGAGGAGGAAAAAAAAGGAGGGGAAAAAAGGGAAAAAAAAAAAGGGAGAGGAGGAAGGAGGCGGAGAGGGGAGGATAGGAGAAGGAGGACGAGGTCGGCGGGCGGAGAGAGGAGGAAAGTAGGAGGAGAGTCGAAGGACGAGGACGAGACGAGGCGGCGGAGGAGGAGTAGGGATGAGGGAGGATCAGGAGGAGGGGAGCAGGAGGTGGAGGAGGAGGAATGATGTAGGAAGGAGGAGGAGGGGTGAATGGGGAAGGAGAGGGGAGGAGGAGGAAGGAGGGCGCGAGGAGGAGGAGGAGAGGGGAGGCGGGAGGAGGAGGAGGAGGAGGAGGAGGAGGAGGAGGAGGAGGAGGAGCAGGAGGAGCAAGATGAGCAGGAGGAGGAGGAGGAAGAGGAGGAAGAAGAAACGACAAGACACGACAAGCTGCATCGCGTCCAACGCGTCGTCAACTGCGCTACACGCAACCGCCTGCTCCATAGAGTGCGGGGGGCATCAGTCTGGCTCTGGTTGGAGGCGGCCGGGGTCTGAACAGGCTGGGACCCCAGAAAGACGGTCAGGAGGAGGGCATGAAGCCGAACCTGTTGTCCGCAGACTCCTCCAGGGGTCCATCTGGTGCAATTCATCCCAAATCCGTTTCTGACGGTCCTGGGGCCCGAAAACGGCCCCCAGAGGTCGAAACAGGACCATCAATAACCTTCCCGAACCCAACGCCTGGAACCGCTTCCCCCCGTCCTACTCGCTAGAACGGGTGCTGGGCCACCTCAGACTCCCAGCCAGATCTAAGCTGGGCCTATCGTGGTATCGGGACAGGAGGCGGGGAATCGGGGAGACGTAAGACTCGTGCTCGGGGTACTCGACGTCCCACCAAAACTGGACCGTCAAACTCCGGGGCGGGCTCGTCAAACATCGTATCGGCTAAACGCCAGAGTGACCCTGGGTAAGAGTGTCCTTTGGCGTGCGGCGTCTGGAGGGCCGCGGGGGGACCACACCTGGGCGCGCAGGCCGCTGCCGCAGCCTCGCGTTCGGCGATCGGGGGACCCATCTGTGCCCGCACCAAAGGTCACTCCGGCGAAAGCTGGCGGCGCGCAAAAGGGGGTAGGCGGAGGGGGGAAGGCTTCTTAGAAGCACCCTGCTTCTTAGCAGGCCTCGGCCTTGCGTGTATAGAGAAGGCCCGCGCCTTCTAAGAGGTAGGGGTGCTTCTAAGAAGCCTCCCCCCTCCCCCTACCCCCCTCTGCGCGTTGCCGAGACCGAGAAAGGTCGTTCTTACGTCTCGCGCCTCGCGGTGCCCCGAGGGAGACGTCCTGGCCTAGCGGCGACGCCGCCCGCGCCTCGCTGGGCGAGGCGGGTGGCGGCGGCTGGCCGGGGGGCAGCAGGCCTCGCCCTGCCCCCCCCCCGCCCCCGACCTGACCTGCGGCCTCCGCCGCCGATCGGGAGCGGCCAAGAGGGGGTGTCCAAGAGGGGGGGGTGCAAATCATGACTGGCGGCACGTGCGCGGCCCAGCGGGGGGGCCAGGGACGTAGTGAAATAAGAAGAGGCGCCATGAAATCTGAGGAAATATCATGCCCCCCGCCATGATATCCAGCCCCTCCTAGCCTAGTCATCACCCCCCTCTTTTCCGCCCCCGAGCCGAGGCGGGCAAGCGAGGCAGCCGGTCCGCGATGGATCCTCGATCCGCGATCCTCGATGCATCCTCGAGCCGCGGTCCTCGATCGTGCGACGTTCGCCGATCCTCGATCGATCCTCGAACCGCGATCCTCGATCCTTCGACGTTCACCGATCCCCATCGACCCTGGAGCCGCGATCCGCGATCGTGCGACGTTCACCGATCCTCGGGATATCCTCGAGCCGCGATCCTCGATCGTGCGACGCCAACCGATCCTCGATCGATCCTCGAGCTGCGATCCTCTTCGGACCTCCCCCTCCTCCTCCTCCTCCTCCTCCTCCTCCTCCTCCTCCTCCTCCTCCTCCTCTGGCGGAGTATAGCGTTACCCTGCGACGCACCCGACCCATCGGCACCACGGGATGATCTGAGGTGTGCGGACGATAGTGTGGCAGCAACGCCGTAAGAGGCAGCGCACTGCGGATATCGATATCGTGCGAAGTGTGCGTGGCCAGCTCGTAGAACAGAGGTACAACAGGCAAGGGGGCAAAGTACCGGCAAGGAGAAGCGAAAGGAAGAAATCTGGTTGGAAGAACAATCACCTCGGCAGACGTAGCGAGACGACGGAGCATGGGCGATACAAGGTTTCACGTAGGCGGAGACGCAACCAAACATTGAAGTGTCGCGTACTTCAATGCCGTAATGCTCAACACCTCATCCTCATCCTCCCCCTTCATCGTCCTTATCCCTCGTCTACCTCGCCTCCCTCCTTTCGTCGTACTCCTGCTTGTCCTCCTCATCCTCCTCGTCCTCCTCCTCCTCCTCCTCCTCCTGTTCCTCTGCCTCTTTCTCATCATCCTCCTTCCTCTCCTCCTCCCCTAACCCCTCCTCCTCTGGATCTGTGTGGGACCCCGCTGTGTTGCGCACCCCAGCGGCCCTCAAAGCTGCGACAGTTGCACACTTCGCAGCCCCCCCAGGGATGGCGAGGTCTCCGATGTCTGCGTGGAACCTCACTGTGCTGGCCCTCCCAAGCAGTCATCGAAAATGGCTACAGTTTCACACTTCGCAGCCCCGCACTGGGTTGGCGAGGTCCTCTGGCCCTCCCAGCGGCCCTCGAATGTGGCGACAGTTTCACACTTCGCAGCCCCCCCAGGGATGGCGAGGTCCTGTTTGGGTCTGCGTGGGGCCGCTCTGTGCGGGCTCCCCCAGCAGCCCTCGAATGTGGCGACAGTTGCACACTTCGCAGCCCCCCCAGGGATGGCGAGGTCTCCGATGTCTGCGTGGAACCTCACTGTGCTGGCCCCCCCAAGCAGTCCTCGAAAATGGCTACAGTTTCACACTTCGCAGCCCCCCACTGGGTTGGCGAGGTCCTCTGGCTCCCCCAGCAGCCCTCGAATGTGGCGACAGCTTCACACTTCGCAACCGAGAGTGTTCAAGACCTCACCATTTGAGGCGGATTTAAATCACGATTTAAAATCATGATTTATTTCACTACAGTTCCAGCCTTGCTGGTGCGAGTCCTTGTTGATGTTGAAAACCCCCCAGGGATGGCGAGGTCCCGTTTGGGTCTGCGTGGGGCCCCACCGTGCGGTCCCTCAGCTGGCTGGTGGAAACAGGTGCAGGCAGGCGAGAGGGGGGCAGAGGGCGGGAGGAGGAGGAGGAGGAGGAGGAGGAGGAGGAGGAAAACGAGGAGCAGGAAAACGAGGAGGAGGAAAACGAGGAGGAGGAGGAGGAGCAGGAGGAGGAGGAGGAGGAGGAGGAGGAGGAGGATGGAGGAGGAGGAGGAGGAGGAGGAGGAGGAGGAGGAGGAGGGAGTTGTCACCCCGCTGGTCTATATTCGAAACGAGAGCCCCACCAAGGGAGGGTTGGGAAATACCGATGCCGCCACTCCCCAGACGTCTCCTGGGTTGCGCTCTGACCAGGATCTCGAGGCTCATCGGGCCACCGGCGACGAGGGAAGGGTCGCGGCGCGGCATCGGCACCTCTTCCCCCCCTGATCCCTCTCGGCGCTGCCGTCCACAAGTGGAAGAGGTCACCTGGCCTGATGAGCCCCCCCCAGCGCCCCCGACAGAAACGACGAGTTGCCCGCCAAGGTGTCAACTTCTGTCTCTGTCGTCGCCTGCTGCTCGTCGGTGAGAGCTGGGCTCTTGGAGGCCTCCCACATGGGGTCCGAGTACGTAGATGGGGTCGGAGAATCGCGCCGCATCGCCGGAGCATCGCCGACGCATCAGCTACGTCGGCGATGTATCGGCGACGTCGGCGTAGAAAACGTCGGAATGCGGCGCGATCCTACGACCCCACCTACGTATTGGACCCCATCTGGGAGGCCTGGCACGCAGGTCGGCAGCTGGCCATCGCTCGGACGTCCATTCCCTGTGTTTTTTTCGGTTTTGTGCGTGGTTTTTCGCCAAATGATCAAGGATGCTCCTCGATGGTCCTCCCCGAGGGAAAAATGCACACGTCCGAGCGATACCAAGATATCGCGGGCGTGGGCTCCCGACGCCGCGTCGATCGCGCAACCCTGAACGACCGCGGCTCCCCGAGCGCAGATCGCTCGTGGACATGTCGCGGGGGCTCCCTGGCCACCAGCGTGTCAATGTTGAGCTGCACTGTCAATGCCTCGCTCTCCTGGGGCTTTGCTGTGCTCCTGATCGTTGCTATCTGTCACGTGTGCGGAGCTGCACTGTCAAGGCCGCGCTTTCCTCTGGTTCTGCTGCGTTCCTGCCCGCCCCTCCGTTTGACCGATCCCTATCCTGGGTCGGGCGTGTCCCCCCCTACTGGCGGATTGTCGACGAGCAATAAAAGATAATCAAAACATGCGCAACAATAATCAAACATAGTCAAACATCGTGCCTAGACTATTCTTTGACTATTTTGAATGTGAAGGGGCCCTGGGACACACAAATTCGCCGGCCCAACGGGCCAGAGGCGTGCTAAGATCTCCGGTAACTGGTAAACAGTATTTCTGGTTCGCGCGCGCGGGGCGGCCCCTGGGGGTCCCTGGATCAAAAATACCCCGAGAGGAGCCCGTGACACGCCCGGGACACGCCCGGGACACTCCCCCCGATCCTCCAGGATCGCCCCAAGAGGGCCCGAAGAGGCCCGCAACACAATCCAAGAGAGGTCCGAGACGCCCGAAGATCGCTCCACGGCGCCCAAGATGGCCTCCAGACGGCCCAAGAGGTCTCCAAGATGACCCAACAAGCCTCCAAGATGCCCCAAGAGGCCTCCAGGAGCACTCCCAAGAGGGCCCCAAGAGGCAAAAATCAATGCTTTTCTTAGGTTTTGGACAGATTTGGGCGTTTCAACCTTTTCGGTTCCCCGACGCCCCTAAACGGCTCAAGAGGCCTCCAAGATCGCCCCAAGAGGGCCCAAGAGGCCCTCAAAAGGGCCCCAAGACGGCCCAAGACGGCTCCAAGACGGCCCCAGAGGCCTCCAAGACGGCCCAAGAGGGCCCCAAGAACGCCCCCAACACGGTCCAAGAGAGGTCCGAGACGCCCGAAGATCGCTCCACGACGCCCAAGATGGCCTCCGGACGGCCCAAGAGGTCTCCAAGATGACCCAACAAGCCTCCAAGATGCCCCAAGAGACCTCCAAGAGAACTCCCAAGAGGCAACAATCTGTGCTTTTCCTTTGGTTTTGGACAGACTTATCGACAACTACACAGCTCCCGACGCCGCAGCTCCACACTGCAAACGACCACTCGGACAGGCGACCACGGTGCCACATTATGGGCCAGCGGAATGAGCGAAGCGATTCAATAAATACACACAAATAAAAATATTCCCCATATTTTCCCATATTTTCTAGGGTTTTGTCTTCCCCCCCACTTCCTATACTTTCCTACATTGTCTGTGTGTTTCTGTCTCCCCTGATAATATTCCTTCTGTAGAGGGACGAGCCCGACTTGACCCCATCCCTAAGGGCGTGGCCTGCGCCCCACTGGCCGATGTACCTCCCCCTTAGATGGAGTCACAGGCTGCTCACCTCGAACTTCGGGGGGGGGCTACATCACCATTTGGGGTGGTGGGATGGCGGGGATCGGGATGGGGATGGAGATAGGGATAGGGATAGGGATCGGTTAAGCGTTGACGGCCAGCCCAGGGGGGGGGGGGCGACTGAAGGGGTGCGGGCCCGTCACAGAGGGCTCGGAAGTCCCCCGGCCTCCACACAAGTGCTCTGAGCCTTCCCCGAAGACGCAGGAAACCTCTCGGGAGGCGCGAGCGCTCCTGAGAAGCCCCGCCGCCTTGTGAGAGGGCCTTCTCCTTCTCACCTCCCTCCCTCGCTCGCCAGGGTCCTTTCAGAATCCTCTCAGAATCCTCCCAGAATCCTCCCAGGATCCTTCCAGGATCCTCCCAGAATCCTCTCAGAGTCCCCCAGAATCCTCCCAGAATCCTCCCAGAATGCTCCCAGAATCCTCCCGGAATCCTCTCAGAATCCTCCCGGAATCCTCTCAGAATCCTCCCAGAATCCTCCCTGAGGAAACGATGTTGACCCCCGGCCCGCTCCGCCCTGCTGCGACGGGCAGGAGCCTCCCCTGCGTCTCCTCGCGGGACTCTGTGAGGCCCAAGAGGGCCCCACGGTCGGCCACGAGGGCCCTGGGCCAAGAGTGAAGGGGCCCTGGGACACACAAATAAATACACACAAACAAAAAGATTCCCCACATTTTCCCATATTTTCGGGGTTTCTGTTTTCCCCCCCACTTCCCATATTTTCCCATATTTTCTGAGGAATCGAGGATTAATTGTGTCTGTGTGTTTCTTTCCTCTCCTGATCTTTGAGGCCCAAGAGGGCCCCAAGGTCGGCCAAGAGGGCCCTGGGCCAAGAGGGCCCCAGGCTGGGTCAAGAGGGCTCCCAGGGGGCCACGAGGGCCCCGAGACGCCCCAGGCACGGCGGCGGGATGGGCCGAAGGCCATTACAGTCGGACCGAGGTATGAGATCGAGGTCGGTTCGGGAAGGGTACCCACATCTTCTTCGTGCTTGTTGGATGTTCTTGTGCCTCCTGGGGCATGGTACAGCCGATTGACCCCAAGGTTTGGGATGTCTTGACCGGCGTAGGGCCTCATGTCCTTGATGGATGCTATTCTGGCATAGGGCCATCTGCAGCTACTGAGCCCCGCCCCGCCCCGCCCTGCTGCGACGGGCAGGGGCTCAGGTTTCTCGGCAGCAAGGCCGAGGACTGCTGCCGGGCCAGCGGGCGCAGCGAGTCCCTCCGCGCGCCCGCGTTCGCGGCCGCCGCCCTTCCGCGCCTCGTCCCCCTCCATCCCTCGTCCCCCTCCATCCCTCCTCCCCCTCCATCCCTCCTTCTCCTCCTCCTCCTCCTCCTGCTCCTCCTCCTCCTCCTCTTGCCCCCTTCCCCCTCGTCCTCCTCCTCCTCCTCTTCCTCCTCCTCCTCCTTCTCCACCATTTCTCCTCCTTTTCACGATCTCTCGCATCCTCCGCCCCCTCTGCCTCCTGCTGCTGCTCCTCCTCCTCCTCCTCGTCGTCCTCCTCATCCTCCTTCTCCTCCTCCTCCTCCTCCTCCTTCTCCTCCTTTTCCTCCTCATCTCCCGACCCTGCCCTCCGCCCCCTATCCTGCTCCTGCTACTGCTCCTGCTCCTCCGTCCTCCGTCAGCTGTCCTCCGTGTCCTCTCCTCCGTCGTCTTGACCTCAGCCCGCTGTCCCCCGAGCTCTGTCATGCGCCCTTCGCCCTCTGTTCTCCTTGCAGTCCTCCTCCTTCTGGATGCCAGCTGTAGTGAGCCAGCCACGTGCAATCGGATGGCTTGCGCACGGACTCGAGTACTGGCCCTCGCTCGGACGTCCATTTCCCGTGTTTTTTAGGTTTCGTGCGTGGCTTGCTCGCCAAATGATCAAGGATGCTCTCCTCGATGGTCCTCGCCGAAGGACAAAAGCACACGTCCGAGCGATGCCGAGCGGTGCACCCGGACTCGAGTAGGCGTGGCAATTGCCACGCGGGTCGGCGCGCTGTCCCCCCCCCGTTCACAGGACAGTGGGACGGGTTCGCGCGGACAGCCGGGCAGTGGCCGCACAGGCGAGGAGCTGGACCCCAACCTCCGCCCGAAGCCACCATCATCCTCATCCTCCTTATCCCCATCCTCATCCCCACCCTCATCCTTATCATCGTCATCACCATCACCATCACCATCACCATCACCATCACCATCACCATCACCATCACCATCACCATCACCATCACCATCATCATCATCATCATCATCATCATCATCATCATCATCATCATCATCATCATCATCATCATCATCATCATCATCATCATCATCATCATCATCATCATCATCATAATCATGATCATGATCATCATCATCATCATCATCATCATCATCATCATCATCATCATCATCATCATCAACATCATCATCACCATTCTCAACCTCATCCTCATCATAATCAACATCATCATCTTCCCCCAAGCCAGCCGTCCGTGATTGACAGACGCCGTGCATGCGACCACCCAAGCCAGAGAACTCCTGATGCGACCGGCGCGTCTGGCAAGACGGCTCTGATAACAGCTGGGTAACAGCTGGGTAATTCGTCAATACTCCCCATACGGCAAAGCGGTGTGACTGCGTGCAACAGGGGGCGCGTCACTGGTTCTCCCAAAAGGGGTGGAGAAGGGCCCTGGCCCCCGCCTCCGCCCCCTTTCCCCAGTCCGTCGTCCTGGGACAGCTCCCACCTCCTCCACCTCCTTTCCCGATCCGTCGTCCTGGACCCCCTCGCCCCCCCCCCTTTCAAAAGGGAGGGGGGGTTTGGACCCTCCCTTCCCCCGCTTGGACTCGAGAATCGATCCCCCCACGCCTCCCCCCTTGGGCCACGCCGCCACCGCGGCTCCGAAACCCTACCCGCCCAAACCCTGCTCCTAATGCCCTCCAAACCTAACACCCCAACAACCCTAACGCCCGAACTCCAACACCCTAGCCCTCCCAAGCGCCCTATCCCGAACACCTTAACCATACCGCCCTACCCCGAACCCTACCACCCTAACCCTAACGCCCGAACCCGAACCCTACCGCCCTAACCCTAACACCCTAATCCTTGCTTCCTGTGATTAAACACCCCCACATCCCCACCTAGCCGGCCGATAGCATACCCGCCGTCCTAACTGCCAGAAAAAAACAAACTAAATTTGTTCCTCGCCAACATGTAGTCGAGTTGCGAACAAATTAGCGGGAATGGGACGGAATGAACATCGTTTGGGTAACCCCGAGCGGGTCGGCCCGTCGGGTTGAGGAGCTGGGCGGGCGGCAAGTCAGAATGCCTCAAGCAAGTGCGGTTCGCCGCACTTCGCGCGCTGGACATGTTGTCGCCGACGAAGCAACATGAGAGGCCAGAGCGGGGCGCGGCGTACATCGGGCGCGGTCTTGCTTCTCGTCGACGTTGCTCAATACGCGGCAGGAATAGGATGCAGCTCATGTCGCGCGCTGAACGTCGAGCCGCCGCCCACGATATAAGATGAGCGACAGGCGTCGGACGCGACGCACTTGCTGCTTATGTTGTGGGAGGGCGGGTGGGAGTGGACGGAGCCCTCTGGCTCGTTCAGGCTGGCTAACTTGATCCTAAACCCTCCCCCTACCTAATCCTAACACCCTATTCCGAAACCTACCGCCCTAAACCGAATCCCACTACTCTAACCCTAACACCCTGACCCTAACACCCTACCCCAAACCCTGACACCCAAACTTTAGCACGCTGGCCCTAACACCTCAACCCTAACACCCGAACCCTAACACACTAAGCCGAACACCCGAATCTTCAACCCAAATGCAGAAACACCCAAACCCTGACACCCTAACCTTAACACCCTCACCCTTACTCTAACCCTACCGCCCCAACACTGACCCTAAAAACCTGACCCAAACACCCGAATCTTGACACAATAACCCACCATAACCATTCCGCCCTAACCCTAACACCTACACCCTAACACCAACCCCTGAGCCCTACCCTAACTCCGCCACCCGAACCCTGACACCCTAATCCTAACACCCTGACCCGAACCCGACTGTAACACTCTAACTGGCACAAGAGGATAGAAGTGGCTCCCCCCCTGAACCATCTCCGGCGCAAAGGGGGGGAGGGGGGGGAGTCCGAACCCCCCACCGCCCTTTCAAAGGGAGGGGGGCTCGAAAACTCCCCCCCTAAAGGGGGGAGGGGGGGGGGGATTGTGCGAGCACCCATCCCCCTTTTCAACATGAAAGGGATCCACTCACGCTCTTACCAACATGTGCCCTCTCTGGTGTCAATGGGTTGGCCGGGTCTGGAGAGGCACCACGCGCTTTGGCCTCGGGACGCTGGCCGCCTGGGGCCGCGTTGTGACCCAAGATCCCGCCGCATGGAAGCACGCTTCCCGCTGTGCCTGGGATGCTCACGCAGTCCGCTCTGCTGAAGCCCAGACGATGGGCCGCCCGCAACGCCACGAGGCCAAGTGGCTGGCCGCGCGGAGCAGGACGCGATGCCCCGTCGGCGCAGGCCAGCCCCGCGCGGAGAACGCCCCCGCTCGACCCGCGGCAGGGCAGCCCACCCCTGGGCGCGCCCGCGCGCCAAGGGCGCCCCCCGCAGGCGTGAGGCGTCCGCGCGCGGGAGCCGAGCGACGCCCTCAAAAGGTGGTCGGCGCCACGCCGAGCTCCCAGGCGGCCACAGGGCCGCAGCAGCTGGCCTTGGCTTCCCGCCTCGGCTTCTCGACCACGCCCGGGCGGAAACAGCAACCCCTCCTCGTCCCCACCTCTCGCCTCCCCTCCCGCACCCCCTCGTCCTCTTCCTCCTCTTTCTCCTCTTTCTCCTCCTCCGCCTCCTTCATCCTCGCCCTCCCCTCTCTTCTCCTCCTCCGCCTCCTCCTCCTCCTCCTCCTCCTCCTCCTCCTCCTCCTCCTCCCACGCTCCCTCCTCCTCCTCCTCCTCCTCCTCCTCCTCCTCCTCCTCCTCCTCCTACTCTCCTCCCCCTCCCCCCCTCCTCCTCCTCCTCCTCCTCCTCCTCCTCCTCCTCCTCCTCCTCCCTCCTCCCTTCTTTCCTCCTCCTCCTCCTCGCCCTCCTCATCCTCCTCCTCCTCCTCCCTCCCCCCTCCTCCCTCCCCCCCTTCCCTCCCCCCTCCGCCCCCTCCTCCCTGGCCCCCCCCCCCGCCCTTCCTCCTCCCTCCTCCCCCCCCCTTCCCCCTCCCCCCCCCTCCTCGCCCCTCGCCCCCCCGCCGCTCCACCGCTCCGGCCTGGCGGGCGCCGCGCTGCCCGCCGGCTGCGGTGCGCAGGCCGGCGGCCGCACGTTGGCGTAGCCTCCCGGGCGGCCGCGCGTTGGCGTCGGTGCGCGCCGCCGTCGTCGTCGTCGTCGCCGTCGCCGTCGTCGTCGTCGTCGCCGTCGTGGTCGGGGTCTTCGCCGTCGTCGCCGTCGTCGCCGTCGCCGTCGCCGTCGCCGTCGTCGCCGTCGTCGCCGCCGTCGTCGTCGTCGTCGTCGTCGTCGTCGTCGTCGTCGTCGTCGTCGTCGTCGTCGTCGTCGTCGTCGTACGCGTCGGTACGCGTCGCAGTCGTCGTCGCCGTCGTCGTCGGGGTCTTCGCCGTCGTCGCCGTCGTCGCCGTCGCCGTCGCCGTCGCCGTCGTCGCCGACGTCGCCGTCGCCGTCGCCGTCGCCGTCGCCGTCGCCGTCGCCGTCGCCGTCGCCGTCGCCGTCGTCGTCGTCGTCGTCGTCGTCGTCGTCGTCGTCGTCGTCGTCGTCGTCGTCGTACGCGTCGGTGCGCGTCGCAGTCGTCGTCGCTTCGCGTCATCGTCGCTGCGCGTCGTCGTCGTCGTCGTCGTCGTCGTCGTCGTCGTCGTCGTCGTCGTCGTCGTCGTCGTGCGCGTCGGTGCGCGTCGCTGTTGTCGTCGTCGTCGTCGTCGTCGTCGTCGTTGTCGTCGTCGTCGACGTCGTCCTTCCCCTGCCAACCAGAGAACTTTGGCCGACGTCCGCTCCGTCGGCCCAGCAGCTCATTCCGCAGGACTCTCTTTTTTGGGGGGGGTGGGGCACCGAAGTAGCCCTCCTTTGGCCCGGGGCCCTCCCCCCCACACTTGGGGAAAGGAGAGCAGCAGAGGGGGCGCCGAGGAGAGCGACGGAGGGCGGAGAGGCTCAGAGGGCGACGAAGGGCGAGAGGGTCAGAGGGCGACGGAGAAGAGGGACGGAGACCGAGAGGAGTAGGGAGTCCAGGGAGGGAGGGAGAGAGAGAGAGAGAGATCGACATGGGAGGGGGAAGGAGGGCTACTCCCTCTTTTCCCCTCCCCTTCCCTTCCCTCCCCGCCCACCCCCCTCTCCGCTGATCCCCTCTTCCTTCAAAGTAAGCGGCAAGAGGCGAATTGGGGCGAGGAGCAGAAGGAGTGAGCACCGGCCAGCCTCATCCGCACCTCGTCTTGGCGGCGGGGGAGACTGTGCGTCGCCGACCGTGAAGAGGATGGTGAGGACGACGAACGGCATGAACACGGATACGGTGAGGACATTAGATAAAGAACCCTTGGATAAGGACTCCAGGGTCTGAAAACCGGTGGCACACCAATTGAGGCCTGGCCATGGATACCACCGCCGGCCTCGTCAGATAAGGAGCCTTCCAGGATCTGAAGCCTTCTGGACACATTCCTTAACGAACACCGAAGTTGCGATATCCTAAGCCTACCCCCACCAACCATCGATTCTCCTGAGCCGATGTGAGGCGGGGGTAGGGTTCGGATTTCGCCACGTGCTCTACGCATTCCGAACCCCACCCCTGCCGCCCACCGAGTTGCCCGAAACGTTGACCGGCGAGGGTAGGATTCAGATTTCGCCGACCCGCCAAAGCGTAGTGAAGGGTGGAGGATGGATTTCGTGCTCCTCCAGTGGACGCCGACTGCGCCAGCCGCCCGAGTCGGAGGATGTTGCACTTGGGGGCGCACCTTTTACTTCCGTTGCCGTCCGCCCCCCTTCCACCGGCTTCCGCCGGCGGAGGCGGCCTCGTTTTACTTCCGCCGACCTTCCGACGCCCTTCCGCCGAGGAAGCGACGACAACTTCTTCGATTCTCGAAGGCAAGGCCCTTTGTGGAACGCCCCAAATGGAACGAAGCGCTGCAGGAGCAAATGGGCATGCAGAAGCAAAAAGGCTTAGCGCATCGTGGCCCCCCTGCCGAGACCCAGACCCCCGACGTCATGTTCTCCCCACGTGTTTCGTGGGGTTCTGGTTTTCTTCCCTGCCGCGTCGCACCCGCGTCTCACTCCTCCCTCTCGTCCTCCTCCTTTCTCCCCTCGTGCACTGGTGAGGGCGTCGAAGATGTGGTCCGCCTTCGAATCCGCTCTGGAGGACAGGCTCCACGCGTGTCGCACGCACGGCACGTACATGAGACACGCGTCTACATACCGCCGCACGCATGCACACACTCGCACACACAATATATACCATACAACGCTAGTGCACACCTGGCGTGTCCACTGCATCATACACCCAAGCCGTATGCACAACATACTGGGCATCCACATGAGACGCACGTCCACATCCAGCCTGGTACCCACATACAGACTGGGTCGGAAAGCGTGGAAAGCATTGCACATAGGACCTAGGGTGCGCACACCGTGCCTGACGCCAGCAAGCGTGGAACTTTCTCGACACCATGAGGGGGTGCGCAGGGGGTGGTTCCTGAGCTCGCGCGGCTCTCGTCCAGGGCACAGCAAACATGGCACTTTTTCGACACCAGGCAGGGTACGCAGGGGGTGGTTCCCGAGCTCGGCCGCCATGCGCGCCTCTCGTCCAGGGCCCAGCAGACGTGGCACTTTTCCCGACACCAGTCAGGGTGCGGTGCGCAGGGGGTTGTTTCTGAGCTCGGCCGCTACGCGCGGACAGAGCAGGCATGGCACTTTCTCGACACCAGAAAGGGGGTGCGCACGGGGTGGTTCTTGAACTCGGCCGCTATTCGCGCCGGTCGTCCACGGCATAGCAGTCGTTGCACTTTCTCGACACCAGGCAAGGTACGCAGGAGGTGGTCTCTCACCGCGGCCGCTATGTGCGCCTTTCGCCCAAGGCATAGCAGGCGCTGCATGTTGTCGACGCCCGACAGGGTGCGCACGGGGTAGTTCTTGAACCTGGCCGCTATTCGCGCCGCTCGTCCAGGACATAGCAGGCGTGGTATTTCGTCGACACCAGAGGGGGTGCGCGGGGGGTGGTTCTTGAGCTCGGCCGCTACGCGCGGCTCTCGTCCAGGGCATGGCTTGCGTGGCACTTTCCTGACACCAGGGAAGGCTTTCACGGGGTGGTTCCTGAACTGGCGTAGCAAGCGTGGCACCTTCTCGGCACCAGAGGGGGTGCGCAGGGGGTGGTCACTCACCGCGGCCGATATGCGCGCCTTTCGTCTAGGCGCCCTGAACGTGGCACTTTCTCGACATCATAGGGGGCGCGCAAGTGCACAGGGGGTGGTCTCTCACCGCGGCCGCTACGCGCGCATTTCGTCTAGGCGACGCAGGCGGGGTCTTTTCTCGACACCAGAAAGGATGCGCAGGGGGTGGTTCCTGAACTCGGCCACTATGCGCACTGATCGTCCTGGGCGAACCAGACGTGGCACCTTCTCGACCCCAGGGGGGGCAGGCGTGACACTTTCTCGACACCATAGGGGGTGCGCAGGGGGTCTCTCACCGCGGACGCTACGCGCGCCTCTCGTCCAGGGCATTTCAGGCGTGGCACTCTGTCGACACCATAAGGGGGTTCGCAGGGGGTGGTTGGTTCCTGAACTCGCCCACTATGCGCGCCTCTCGCCCAGGGCATAGCAGGCGCTGCTTTCTGTCGACGCCGAAGGGTGTGCGCAGGGGGGTGTCCCTGAGCTCGGCCGCTAAGCGCGCCTCTCGTCCAGGGTATAGCAGGCGTGGCACTTTCTCAACACCAGAGCCGGTGGGAAGGGGGTGGTCCCTGAACGCGGAGGGTATGCGCGCCTTTCGCCCATGGCATAACTGGCGTGGCACTTGTTCGACATCAAAGTCCGTTGCTCGCACGGCGCGTCAGTCTCCCAAGGCTTGACCAGCGCCACCAACGGTATCGTCGAAGCAACGGCCACGGGCATCATTCTCGCAAGTTTCACGTCAGCTATCATCACGCCAGACACTTTAGAAATATGTTGGGTTCCTCGGTAGCGTAATTTCGCAGCGTCGACCCCCAGAGGTCTAGACTTGTTCCCCGGGGCCGGTCTTTCATCCTGAGTCGTCGCTTTATGGTCCTAGGAGCCCCGCGAGGGCCTCCAGAGGCTGAACATAACAAAGCAACCGCCAGTTTTTTTTCTTCGGGGGGGTTGCTCACGAATCGCGATGGGGGGCTGGTGAGCATTTTTTTGTTCGGCGTTTCGACATTGGGCGGAGGGGTGGGTTGGCTTGGAAGGAGGGGGTCCGGCTCCGGACCTCCGCTTCATGCGACTGTTTGGAACCGTGCGTCCTATGGGGGAGACTCCACCTGTCCGAAACAGGCGCCAAGAACAGCCAAGATCTACCACTCCCGGGGGGGGGGGAGGGGGGGTGCGCGGGCCCCCGCGCCGATCGGCAAAACAATGAATAAACGACGATCGCCGGGGGAGGAGGGGCAGGACGACGTCTTAGGGGAACCAACAGTGGCATAAACATAAAAACTCGGATGTCCGCGCGGATTTCTCCGATCGGCGCTGGGGCCCCCCGGCGGCGCCTCTGGCGCCGCCCCTGGCGCGCTCCGCGCGCCAGGGAGGGGGCCCCAGCGCCGATCGGAGAACTCCGCGCAGACCTCCGAGTTTTTATGTTTCTGTCACTTTTTATCCCCCCACTCGGGAGCGGCCAAGAGGGGGGTGTCCAAGAGGGGGGGGGTGCAAATCATGACCCGCGGCATGTGCGCGGCCCAGCGGGGGGGCCAGGAACGTAATGAAACAAGAAGAGGCGCCGTGAGATCTGGGGAAATATCGTGGCCCACGCCACGATACCCACCCCCCCCTAGTCATCGCCCCATCGCCCCCCTCTTTTCCGCCCCCGACCCACGCCTGGCGCTGGCCGTGGGATGCCGCCGGTGCCGCTCGCTCCGGCCCTTCCCCCCCGCCCGGAGGCTGCGCGCCCCGCGGCGCGGCGGAGGCAGCTTCGGGAGCGCCGCGTGCGGCGGCCGCCGCGGTCCTGCCGCCCGCCCCCAAAAGGACACGCCCAGGGTCAACAGCAAGGAAGCCAGGAGATACGACATTTCGAAGCTGCCCTGGCGCTCAGCAAGAAGGTGGCCGCTGGCATGCCGAACCAGGTCGCGCCCTATGAGCACGGCAGGGGTGAGAACGGAAAGCACAACCTTCTGATCGACCGTCGTGGGTGCAGCAGCAGGAGGCGGCGGCTGCTGATCCCAGGGAGCTGTCTACCCTCCACAGGGTCGCAGCTTCTGGACCGTCTGTGCGCAGGCAGTGAAAGCGAGGTGAGGTAAGGCATCGCAGGGTCATGGAAAGAAGTGTGCCAGTGAAGCAGGGCCCAAGCGATGCAAGGATTTCGAATGAAACGCGGTGATTCTTCCAAAATGGTGTAGTGTATGCAAGGAGTTCGCCAGCCGAACTACAACAGTAGTATACCAAAGCCGGCTTGGTCTACAATCTTTTTTTCACATTGTTGAACACGACACTGGACATGACTCCTACTGGAGAGCATTACCTTGATTCAGCCGCTCGCGCGAAGCGCTTGCATGGGGCTCCCGACCAGAAGCATAGCGATCTCCGAGCGAATTCCCTGAATCGTAAATGCACTGCCGCCCGAAAAGCCCGAAACGGCCGCGTGAGTAGTCTAAGCCGGCTCCAACTGCACCACAACACACCCAAGACGGCACTAATGCACTCAAGCGCACGCGACGGTCTGACCACACCTCCGGGCGGTCCCAGGGTCCCATCGACGGTCGAGATGCCCGCAGCAAGCCCCGAGAGGGCGTTGCGAGTGTTCCAGTGCGCCTGCGAGAGACAACTCAGCGAACCAAAATATTTGCCACTCTAGTATCGCTCATTGACGCCATTACCCCACTTGGCCCAGGGCGGTTCCCAGACGGACTCTCGGCGGCAACTGGACGGTCTCCACGCTAACCCCGTCTTCGCGCCACTGCCGCTCCGTCAGCTGCAGAAGTAATGTTCGGACCAGCCAGCGCCGGAATTCATGCCATGCACTATTCGGTTGGACAGAAAATCCTGGGGCATGTCCACTCCAAGGTGCTCGGGGAGTTGTCAACGTCTTGTTCTTCCCTCTCCTCCTCCTCCTCTTCCTCCTCCTCCTCCTCCTCCTCCTCCTCCTCCTCCTCCTCCTCCCCTCCTCCTCCTCCTCCTCCCTCTATCCCTCCCTCCCTCTATCCCTCCCTCCCTCCCTCCCCCCCACCCCTCCCTCACTCCCCTCCTTCCCTCCTCTCTCCTCCTGCCTGGTCCTGCCCCTGCTCCTCCTCTCCTCCTTCTCGTCTCGTCCTCGTCCCTCCTCCTCCTCCTCCTACTTTTCCTGTTTCTTTTCCTGTCCTTTTTTCCTCTCCTCTTCCTCTTCCTCTTCCTCTCCCTCCTCTTCCTCCTCCTCCTCCTCCCCCTCCTCCTTCCCCTTACATCATCATTTTCCCTCTCCTCCTTCTCCTCCTCCTCCCTCCTCCTCCTCCTCCTCCTCCTCCTCCTCCTCCTCCTCCTCCTCCTCCTCCTCCTCCTCCTCCCCCTTCCTGTCGCACCCCGACCGAGGCTAGTTTTTGGGGCGGGCTGGGCGTTTCGATTGAGACTTCCCCATCATTTGTGACTCTGAAGCTTAAGAACTGGCAAGAGTTTCACAAATGGAGGGCGGGTCGCTTCCAAGATGTGGCTCTCGTTCCGACAAATGCGAGGGTTTCACGGATTGAGGGCGAGTGGTTTTCAACATGTGGCTCTCGCCTCAGCGCCGCGCACATTCGTTTGAAACATGTGCAAAGGTTTCACGGATTGAAGGCGAGTCGTTTTCAAAATGTGGCTCTCGCCTTATCGCCGCGCACATTCGTTTTCCGCCGGCCCACTTGCGGGGCCATCAGGCTATGAAGATTACGCTTTCACCTCCCTGGACCAGTTGCAGTTTCCAGCTTCCACTGTTACTATCCTGCTTTCTGCTTCCTTGCAATTAATTGTTGCTGAACGCGCGAGGGGGGGAGCCGAAAAGCGTCCTGGTTAGCGTCGCCGAGTCGCGTTGTATGAAATCCCGGGGGGTCGTGGGACACGTGGAAATAATTTATATTCGCGTCCTCGAGGCCACTCACGAGGATCGTGGCCTCCGAGGGGGGAGCCGCAATCGACTACCCCCAAGAGCCCCCCAAGAGGCCGTGGGGGCCTCCAAAACGCCGCCAAGGAGCCCCAAGAGACTCCCAAGAGGTCCCCAAGAGACCCCCAAAAGGCCCTAAAGAGGGCTCCAGGGCCGGCGGCATGAGCGAAGCGATTAAATAATTTATATTCGCGTCCTCGAGGCCATAACCGTTAGTCATTTACGCCACACTCGCGTCCCCGAGGCCATCAACCATTGCAAATGAAACAATATTCGCGTCCCCGAAGCCACAAACCCTGGTAAATTACACAATGCTCGCGCCCCCGAAGCCATAAGCCCTTCGTAAATAACGGAATATTCGCGCACCCGAAGCCACATACCTTGGCGGCGCGCAAAAGGGGGTAGGGGGAGGGGGGGAGGCTTCTTAGAAGCACCCTGCTTCTTAGAAGGCGCCGGCCTTGAACTCCATCTGAGAAATGTCCCGCGCCTTCGGGCCTTCTAAGAAGCAGGGGTGCTTCTAAGAAGCCTTCCCCCCTCCCCCCTACCCCCATTCTGCGCGTTGCCGAAAACCATCGAACGTTAGACTATCGTCGCGTCCCCAGGGCCAGAAACCTCGTACACTACATCGTGCCTGCGTCTCCGAGGCCACTGACCCTTGCAAAATGACACAGTGCTCGAGTGCCCGAGGCTATAAACCATCGTAAATTGTAATATCTGCCCCCCCGAAGCCATAAAACCCTGGTGCATTCAGCAATCTTCGTGTCCCCGAGGCCACAAGAACCTTTCTGCAAATTATGCAATACTCGCGTCTCGGAAGCTATAAACCATAGTACATTACATAACATTCGCGCCACCGAAGCCATACACCTTCGTAAATGAATGTTGGCCCTCGCGTGAAGTCCCCACATTGCTTCGCGTCAGCGCCCAAACATCCCAACACAGTTCTGGCAAGTCCCATTCTAAGAGAGGGGGGCCGGCGGCACGGGGGCCAAGCCCTTGCGGATAACAAGTGCAGGAGCTTCACGGATTGAGGGCGACTCTTTTTCAAAATGTGGCTCTCGCCTTAGCGCCGCACACATTCGTTTTGACAAATTACAAAGAGTTTGCGAATTGAGGGCGGTTCCTTTTCAAAATGTGGCTCTCGCCTTCGCGCCGCGCACATTCGTTCACAAACTGTGCAAGAGTTTCACGTCTTCTCATGATCAACGTAACAGACATGGTGTTTTGGAAGGCTTCCAGATTATGCGGGTGCAACAGTTACGTTGATTCGCAGTGCCGAAGTCCCAGGAATGGAAGGTTGATCCGCGGGGTTGGGATCCTGAGAACAATGTTGACTCATGTCCTCCAACGAGGCAGTTTCCTCAATGGAAATGACTTATAGGGGCCTATGAAGAGGGAGCTTGGAGGGCGGGTTTATTCCAACATCGTTGCTGATTCTTGGGTTTACACTAGTCCTCCTCCTCCTCCTCCTCCTCCTCCTCCTCCTCCTCCTCCTCCTCCTCCTCCTCCTCCTCCTCCTCTTCCGCCCACAGCAGTAACGTCTGGCCCCGTCCCTGGGCTGCCCCCTCCCGCGGCGACCCCCCCCCTCCCCGCCACCCCCACCAGCATCCCCGGCCCCCTACAGTGAAAACGTATAGTAAGGACGCGTGGTAAGGACGCAAGACCCTTGGAGGCCGAAGTTGAAGTATTCTGTCCTACGAAAATTGCTAGGGACGGGCCGCAGAGGCTGAGGCAGGCCAGGACCCAAGGGTACCCTTGAAAAAATCGTTTGTCCTTATTATGCGCGTTGATTGTACCTCGAGGACGTCCAACAAACCACCCAAGAGGGGATGCGCAGACCATGGCCCGAGGCACGTGCGCGGACGAGGGGGGACCAGGGGCCGCACTGAAAACAAGAAGAGGGCCACGAGATCGGGGGAGACATCGTGGCCCCCGCCATGATCTCCGCCCCCCCTTCCCCGCCCCCCCCCCCCCCAACCCTGTCACCGCCCCCCTCGTGCACGCTCCTGACTTCCCCAGGGCTTCGCCCACTGCCCGACCCCACCCCCTGGCAAAGGGAGGGGAGGGAGCACGGCATGGAGAGGGGAGGGGGGATGGGGAGGTGAGGAGGGGAGGGGAGGGAGTGAGGAGGTGGATGCACGGGGGAGGTGGGGCAGGTGCGCTCGCGTCATATCTGACGTCCTACCCCTCCCTCCCATCCCTTACCTTGGCGTAGATTTCCTCTCTATCCGCGCAGTCGGATGTCGCAGCAGGGCATAGCATCACATGGCATAGCATGGTGTTGAAGATCAACGCGTAGCTTGACATAGCATGGCGTGGCGACGCCCCAAATTGGTGGGGGGGCTTCTGCGGCCCAAAAAATTAACGAATCGACACCGGACACCGAATGTGTAATCACGTCCGATGCTTGGTTCGGGGGGCCATTTTCAAGAGTTGATGCCTATATGGCAGGACCGAAAACCATGCCGTGGTATGGCGCTGGAAGTAATGACGCCAACGCTGCAGCGGGAGCACGTTTCGGAACGAGCGGACGCGCGGAAATGAGGCCAGCGATGCAGCGGGAGCACGATTCGGAGGACGCGTAGCCTGACATAGCATGGCGTGGCGACGCCCCAAAGTGGGAGGGGGCTTCATGCCTAATCACTTCCGATTGTTCTTTCGGGGGCCATTTTCTAGATTTTGTGGCCTATTCAGACGGACCGAAAACCATGCCGTGGCATGGCGCTGGAAATAATGACGCCAATGCTGCAGCGGGAGCGCGATTCGGAACGAGCGGAATCGCGGAAATGAGGCCAGCGCTGCAGCGGGAGCACGATTCGGAACGAGCGGCAGCATGAAAGTGAGGCCAGCGCCTCAGCGAGAGCAAGATTTGAAAAACAACCAAGCGAAAACCCAGCTCCCAGGAATCATGTGCCTAAAAAACCGGTACACGGAGGGGGGCCGAACAATCCCCGGACGCCACCATGGGAGAGAGGAGAGTAGTATTCACGCCGTGTGTGGAGGGGGGAGGCACGGGAGGGGGAGGAAGCAGGCGGGGAGGAGCGGGCGGAAGGGCAGGAGGGGGGATGACCAGGGATGGGGGGCCGCGGGGGGCCCCTCCCGCGCGGCTGCTGGAACGCGAAGGCGGCGCCCGCGTCGTGGCCGGGCCCCCCGCCGAGGGCTGCGGCCTGCGGCGCGTGCGCGCGCGCGGCGGCCCACGACTCGCCGTCGCTCGGACGTCCATTTCCCGTGCATTTTTCGGTTTCGTGCGTGTTTTTTGTGCTCGATGGTCCAGGATGGTCCTCGGTGGTCCTCGCCGAGAAAAAAATGCACACGTCCGAGCGATGCCAAGACGAGAGCCGACCCCTGCGCAGACGAGTCGAGGCGAGGCGGCGTGGCGCTGGAAGAGCAGAGCGGCTCCACGAGCGGCGAGCACGCACTTCGGGTGGGCGCCTGGGCCCGCCGGTAGGCCCTGGCCATCGCTCGGACGTCCATTCCCTTGGCATCGCTCGGACGTCCATGAAAAAAATGCACACGTCCGAGCGATGCCAAGGGCCTCTCCCACTGCTTGGAGGGCCTCCAGCCCTGCAGGATCCTGCGAGTTCGGCGTCCTGGCTGAGCCCCGTTGGCGCTGAGCCCCGCTGCTGGAAGAAGAAAAAAAGCGGCGCAAGCGTAGCCTTTGGCGCTCCTCGCGGATTTCTCGGATCCGCGCTGGCACCGCCCCCAGCGCGGAGCCTGGAAATCCGCGCGGAGCGCCAAAAGTTTATGTTTATGTGGCTTCTTCTTCTTCTCCGAGCTACGTGATGAGGGGCAACGATAAGGGGACGTTGGCATAGGGGAGCGGTCATACTGTGAACGAGCTGGGGCAGATGGGTAATTACAGTAACAAGCATCCTCCCTCCCCCCTCCCTCTCTCCTCTGTCCTCCCTCCACTGCCTCTGCCCTCCTCCCTCCTCCCTCCTCCCCCTCCTCCCTCCTCCTGCTCTCCTCCTCCTCCTCATCCTCCCCTCCTCCTCCTCATCATCATCATCATCATCATCATCCTCCCTTCCCCTCCCCCTCCTCCCCTCCCCTCCGCCTCCTCCTCCTCCTCTCTCTCCTCCTCCTCCCCTCTTCATCCTCCATCCGTTTCCTACTTATAAAAAAAAAAAAAAAAAAAACAAAAAAAGAACAAAAAAAAAAAAAAAAAAAAAGAAAAAAAAAAAAAAAAAAAAAGAAAAAAAAAGAACAGGCGCCTCGCTGTCGTATCCCCAGACGTGTCCGTAGGGCGGCCGGGCGTTTCACCTAAGATGTCTCACCATTTATGATCCTGAAGCTTGACGTTTGCAACACTTTCGCGGATTGAAGGCGGGTTGTTTTCAACATGTGGTTCTGGCCTTAGCGCCACGCACATTCGTCTTGAAAGTTTGTCACACTTTCAAGAATGAAGGGCGAGTGGTTTTGAACATGCGGCTCTCGCCTTGGCGCCGCGCGCATTCGTCTGAAAAGTTCGCAGCAGTTTCACGGATGGAGGGCGGGTATTTTTTACAGTGCCATGGCTGAGACGTACACATACAAACTAGTACGATATGTTATCCTTGAAGGTGCGCGTCCGACGACCCGAACATATAGTATACACACCTTGTAGTTGATAGTTTCCCGAGCGGCGTGGCCAGAAATTCCGCCACGCCGCATCTACTATAAGATGTCTCGATGCGCGCGTCGCCGCTGTGGGGGCGACGCGCACATAGTATTTGCATGTTGGGGCGAAGCCGATTAGCGCCGCGCACATTTGCCTTACACGATTGCACGTGCTTCACGGCTGGAGGGCGGCCGGCTTTCAAACTGTGACTCTTGCCGTAGCGCCGCCCACGCTGGTCTTAAAGTTCGCAGCAACTTTTCGGACGGAGGGCGGGTGGTTTTCAACGTGTGGCTATCGCCTTAGCGCCGCGCACAGCCGTCTTGAAATATCGCAGCAAGTTCAAGGATCCGTATGATTGAAGTCCCAACAATGGTGCCCTGGCGCGGTTTGGGATTGTCCAGACGCAGCAGACATGTACATTCGCGACGTTGAAAGAAAAACCAGGATGGTGTTTTGTCGGCGAAGCTTACGATTGTCGCGACGCAACAGTTACGTTGATCAGCGGCGCGTGATGTCCGAAGAACTGTGTGTTGGCACGTCTGAGGATTTTCAAGTGTGCCTCCTCATGAGACACTTCCCGCGATCACAACAAATTCTTGTAGATAACCTCCGCAGAGGGCACGTGGAGGGAGGGTGTATTGCAACACCGTTGATGCGTCTTGGGTTTGCACTGGTCATCCTTCTCCTCCTCCTCCTCTTCCTCGCCCTCCTCCTCCTCCGGCGGGAGCTCCAGAGGGAAAAGGAGGAGGAGGAGGAGGAGGAGGAGGAGGAGGAGGAGGAAGAGGAGGGGCCGAGGATTCCGGGGGCCGCCGTTGTAGCGCAGCGCTCGGCCCGCGCGGGCCGCGCCGCGGCCCTGCGCGCCCTGTGGCGGCGAGACGCCGCCGCGGCGCGACAGGCAGAAAAGGCAGGAGGAGGAGGAGGAGGAGGCGGAGGAGGAGGAGGAGGAGGAGGAGGAGGAGGAGGGAGGAGGAGGAGGAGGAGGGAGGAGAAGGAGAAGGCTCAACGCCCGTTAAAGGGAAGTCAGGGGAGAGAGAAAGGGAAAACTGGGGGGGGCGCCCATCGAAGGAGAACTTTTTGTTCCCAGGCGGGGGGGGACAAGCCCCGCCAGGGCCCGCCGACAGGGCACCCCCCCCCTCAGCCAAAGATATCGTCGGGCTCTGGCTCCGGCCCTGCCCGACGCGCTTGGGCTGCAGCACGGGCGTCCATGGCCCTTCTGCCGAGCTCCTCTGCTTCAGCACGAGTTTCGAAACCGAAACACAAGAGGATGGAGTCGACCCCCAAGCGGGGGGTTGGGGGCGACCTCGAAAAAGGGGGCAACCTGCCAACGGCGCCCGAACCCTCATTCAGCGCCACGCCGAAGTGCGATGCCCACCGCTCTCGGGTGGCCGCGGAGGGGACACGAGGCTCGTCGAGCGAAATGCTCTCATCGGAAGGATGCAAAAGAGCTCGCAGTCGCTTGCGGCTCGTGTAGGCTGAGGCTCCCTTGCTCAAGCGGGGCCCCACGCAGAGACTGCAGAGGCCCCTCTGACGGGGGTGGACTGCGAACCGGTAGCACGTCGTGCAAAATAAAAGCGGATCCCCTCCAGGGACACCCGCCCCCAGAATCGAATGTTCGTTCGCTCGCCATGGCCGCCGAGGGCCAAGTCCGAAATGCTCGTCCTCCCCCGCATCCTCATCCTGCCCCTCTCCAGCTCCCCAAACCTCCGCCGGCTCCTCCTCCGCAGCAGCAGCAGCAGGAAGAGAGTCCAAAGCAGGAGAGGGGGAGAGGACAAGGGACCTGTGGCGGGGCTTCGGGGGCCTCGTGGTCAGGCAGGGGCCCAAGCCCTGGACACAAGTGAGGAGTCAGATCTATTAGTTTAATGGCCTCCAGGCCAGTGTGGTCATGCACATCTTCCGACACCATCTTAGCCGCCAGCCTCGCCGAGAACCTGCACGCCTGGGTAGCCAGAGCCAGGCAACCTTCCAGGAACACCACGTCGTGCTCCTCGGCTTGCGCGAAACTGGCGCCTTTTCTGGCGATATGGTCTGCGCGGGCATTGCCGGCCAGGTCAAGTTCAGGCAGCTTTCCATCCCTCACGTCCACCATCGAGCAATGCGCAGGGACATGCTGGAAAGAAAAATGCTGGAATTCTCCCCGGCCGTGCACGCGGAGCCACAGGTGGGCTCGAGGATTGGTGACGACGGTTGCCTTCCGTGCGTCAGAGCAGCACGATAAGGTAGCTTTACAATCGGCCCTCAACGAAAAATCACCAAGCACGTGCACAGAAGCCATGTATGCAGCGGAATCTTCACCGTCCCCAGCAGTGTTCGTTATCGCAAACTCGGGCGGTACCACACCATAGATGGCCCCTCGGTAGGTACCGTCCGCACCAAAAAACACACAAGCCCATCCGGCAACCCTGAGAGAGGGGAACCGCGCGTGCAGCCCCGACCCATCAGTGAAGACAACCCCGCCGTCCAGGCGGATGGGAAGATCAACCCCTGTGCCTCGCAGGGCCCACATCGGGTCAAAGGCTGGACGACTCACCACGGCACCTGGATCAGGGAAAACACCTCTCGCGAATCTCTCCCGCCAAGCGGGAGGGGCCAGGCCAACCCGATTGGCAGCCTTGGCCAACTCGGCCGATATGTTGTCCCGACGCCATGCTTCGCGGCCGGGGCACTGGTAGCACCTGTGATGGAGAGACCCGCGGGCTTCTCCACACAGCAAGCAAATTGGCGAGACTGTCGCGTCCTGATCGTGCAGGCGGCCCTGCGTCCAATGCGAGCCGGCAACCAGTCCCCGCAGGGTATTCTGCTGGTGCTTCCCCCAGCCCTGATCCCAATCGCAAAACAAGCTCTCAAGCACTGGCCGCCGAAAGATGGGGCCAACCCAGCAATGCCGATCTTGCAACAGAAGCGCTCGAACGTCGGACGCCCGCCGCGCTGAAAAAGCAATCTGGTCGGCCAAGCAGGCCGGCGAATAAAACTTGAGATCCCACTCCCGGCCCCCGTCGTCCACAGCCAAAGTGGCCCCCCGAAATCTCCATCCCGCGCGAGGGGCCGAAATCAGCATGGCAGAAACAGGATCCCGGCATGAGACCCATGGGCGAGGCTTGGCCGCTTGATACACTCCGTTTTGGAAGAGAGTCTCAAGGACGCCCGCCGTGAGGAGGCCATCCCGTATAATCTCTCCATATTGTTTTACAGAATCAACAGTGGCGATGACCAGCGGGTCGCGGCGCCACCCTTGCCTCGAGCAGCGCATAAAAAGTGCGGTCGAGGCGCCTCGGGGCAGCCGCCCCTCCGCATGGGCAGCCATCACTCGCAGCTGGTGCAGTCGTGTGTCCGCGACCCCATGTACGCGCGATTCCCAGAGCGCCGCAGCTGTCGGGCCCGCTCTGTGCACCTGGGACACCTTAGCACCTCCTTTCTGCAAGAGCTTGAGCCTCAACGCGCGACTCCGTGCAGAGAGAAACCTATCAAGATGAGTGGACACTCTGCGGTGCCGCCCGTCGGTGGCGCCCCCGCCCAAGTCTCTGTGGAACTGGGAGCGGGCCGCCAGCTCCATGGGCCATTGCTCACACCGAC